GTAGAAGTGCCCAGTAGGCTTCATTTTTCACAGGTACATGTACATGTAGTTACACGTTAATGTATTGGTATGGTATGTAGTGGTTTAGTGCTTCAATTTCAGTACAGTACTGCACACATTCAAGCGCATCTTACATTTAAATTTAGAGAACAAAAAAGGTACGTGTAAATGTGCTCAAAGCTGCCTTTTCCTCAGTACATGTACCATACCGGTACGCATGTACATGTACCAGCATTTGCTATTACAAGAGCCACTTCTTTCTTCTGAGACACAGTGACAAGCACCCATATTTTCTTTTAAATATCCCAATCAATACTGAAAACCAACATTTTGAAGGAATACAAACACAAACTATTCATTATCTGTGGGCCTCCGACCATTGCAAACATCTCCATGAAACCCAAACCTGACTCAATTATCCCAGAAGAAAAGGCAGACCACAACCACTGTGTGCTTGCACAGGCATGTGATAGAAAAAGTGAAACTCAAAACCGTCAGTGCTCACCAGACAAGAAGATCTAATTGCATCTCCAGACAAATGGGAGATGGCAAAGAATGGAACTCTCCACTTCAAGACTGGTCAATTTGTCTTCCTTTCCTGACTTACTGGCTTTCCTACACGTGCATGTAACTCATGAATCCATCTTTACTTCCAACACGAAAATTGTCTACCTTCACCACTGGAGATTTTTTTCAAAGACAGAAGAGGAAATAAATACATGTGCATGTACATGTACCAGTGGGTAAAGAAAAAAAGATCCTAGAGTATCGGCTCAGTGTGCCATCAAATCGACAAAATCTATTCATAAGACATGTAGGATAGATGAAAACACCTTCTACTGTGTCAACGGACCCAACTCTGTAACAGGTTTTACATTACAGTCAATGTAGGTGCTGAGAAACTGGAGGCTCGGACCCTGTACAGGTAATTGACTGGCTGGCATGGCTGATGTGAGTGGCTGCCCACTCGGCATGATGGGGGATACTTGTCTGTCGTAGGAGACAAGAAGAAGTACATGTAAACCTACTGTACATTCTCCACTTGAAGCTGAGATTAGTTTCTCCTCATTTCCATTGTTGAAGACATTTGTCATCTGCATGTGGGTCATCACTCCATTAATTAAGGGTCTGAAGTGGGCCACATACCGGTAGGCCAAAATTTGAAACTTTTTTCCTGTCCTTTGATAGTTTAAATTCCATCACACAACTTATACATGCATGCTTCTGCTTCATACCTCCCAAACATCCTCAGAGGGTTATAAATACACAGACGTACAGTAAATCAGTTGGATTTGCACGTAAATCAGTAGGATATGGTATGCCACTGCTTGGTTTGCATTTGGGAGAGGTAAAACATTTGAGGCACAAAATTGACACATCACGAGGGCAATTTCCATAATGTATGAAATTAAATGAACACAAATGTTGTACCTGTATGTAAAAATGTATATATGTAACAATGTTGTACCTGTATGTACCGTAATATTGTACATACTGTACGTACTAAAACTAGTCTGATTCCCAGCCTAGTCTGCCTACGATATTCTGTTCAATTCCCAAATGAGGTTGCATTGAAATATGTACAAGTACAAAATACTCATATCAGAACACCCACACACATTTGTGGGTAAACATGTGTGAGAGTTTTGGGCTGATTGAAAATGGCAGAATTTATGTTGTGGTTTCTAATGTAAGAAACTGATGAGTGAAAAGTTAAGGTGCCATACTTTCTGTACAATATATGTACTGTACATGTAACATTTGTAAATTACATGTAAGAACAAACAACACTAAGTCCTTTTAGAATGGAAAAGTAATTCTTTATGTATTTCAGATTCCCTGCAAACTTACGTGTCTATCTACACAGGCCTAAATTTTGTCCCACACTTTTCTCTTTTAAAAAGTTGGTAAGACAAAAACGGCTCTTTACATGATGACCACCACATTTGATTATGAGAACGCAATTAAGGTTACAAAACATTAACCCAAACCAAAAATTAATGTACAGTACATGTACTCCTTCAAAGTTTACCATTTCAAATGGGAAATCTCCAATTGGACACACCAAAAAAGATGGACCTATGTTTTGCAGTAAATAAGAAATGTTTGAGCCTATCTTCCTAGTCTTGCAATGTACTGTACATGTACAGTGTACATGTAGGTACCAAAAAATTGAACACACAATGTAAAAGTTGATATGCACAATTTAAAGATTTTCGCAAAACTGATAGCAATTTTTAAGAAATACAAAACGAAGCAGATTCTTGTTAATGCTCATCTTCCTTTAACCCTAACCCTATATACAGTGTACATGTATTTACTACAGGTAGTAAAATGTAGTTATCAGTTTTACTGAGGACATGTTCCGCATTGTTCTCTGAAGCCATAAAATACAATAGAAAAGACAATGTATGGTACAGTGCTGTGGCACTGTGAATGCATGGCTTTATTGTTCTCTGTATGAGTAACAATGGAAGTATAACCTAGCCAGAAGCAGTAATTAGTAGCGCTAGGTCCTTCAGGCTCAGGTTACTACTTAGTATTTTGTAGTACTTAGTCCTGTAAGCATGGCAGTTAGGGTTAACTTACACAGATGTTGTAAACTACATGTACATGTATCTAAAATACATTACGGCTTTTTCAAGTGTTTTCAAAAAATTTAATTTCAATACCTTTTTCCCCAATTTAAATAAAAGTCTGCTACATGTAGTGGTATGATGTTAACTCGGACATTTGTTAGACACAATTTTCCCACCAGCTTGAAACCTGTTTACATGTATGTGCGCGTAGCTTGCATAAAATTCGTATCCCCATGGGTGTATATCTACATGAACCTGTTTATGATGAACATGAGTAACAGAGAATTTTCTACCCCGAGAAGTGCCCGGGTAATCTTTGGATTAAATTTTTGCCAAGTCTGAGATTACCTAGGTATTTAAAACAGCATAGTGTGAAACCTGAATTTACATGTACAAGGGTACAGGTACCATCATAACAGTCAAACTACATGTATATGTGTTACGCTTTTCAACACTAAAAACAGGTCCAGGTGCATCAGACCTTTTCTGCTCTGTTAGCGTATTACTCTAACACATTCTCTGAAAGGCTTACAAGCTGTGAATGCAATTGTGCTGATACAGAGAGTTGCCATGGTAACCCATCCCAAGTATGATCTCCATTGACAACTATGGCTCAGGGCGGGTACGTGTATGAAATGCTGAATAAATTATCAAAGATTTCACTTCAGCAGAACACCAAAGACATGCTCAATTTTCCTCTTGATAAATGGAACGCATAAAAATTGCTTAGAGCTGAAAAACATTTCAATTAAATTTCACATACATGTATTTTGCATTTTGGGTAACTCTGTGGGTAACAGACTTGCATACATGTACATGTACGTGTACCGGTACATGTACACTGTACATGTGTGTACCAGTACGTACAGGATTTTCAAACGTATCCTGCTTTCATGGTGGTGGTATACAAGTACATGTATTGTACACATGTAAGTTTATTAAGGACCTAAACTCTTGTGCTGTTTCCCTGAAGGAATTTCCCTCTATCAATTAGATTGCTTTTGAAATTTGCCAGTGGGGTTTACATGTACCTAAACTTTACAAGGAACAGTTATGTACCGGCAAATGTTTTGTACATGTATGTACATGTATTGCCACTGTACATAAATGACACCTTGGCAGTCTCTGTTTTGGGGTATAATATGGAATAAGAACTCACTGAAGTTGGCAAACAAAAAGCAATCACATACAAAAATATCCCCCCCCCCAAAAAAACTGTGATCACTTTGCTGTCTTTGTTTCCAAACATACAGTGTAAGTACTGGTGAAGGCCTTCACAATGATGCCAAACATTATTATTTTCTGCAAAAAACAAAAAATAAAAAAATTGAAACCCAGGAAAAGGATCACATTTGCGAATTTGCGAACATCCTGTGGATCAGCGGAAAATGAAGCTGTTTGTTTTGATTCTGTCAGACTCTGCAACATGCATTGCTTTGATAACAGCCAATGATCCACAATCAGGAAAATAATTGATATGCCACTTTCCTTTCACAATGTGAGACTTGCTACTGGTGCAGAGAAATTGATTCTTTATCACAGATTTTTACATTTTAAGCTTTTAAGCATGTCAAATTGTTCATACATGTACTTTTCAAGAAGATAAAGACACAGTGTCAACGAAAAAAATACTGGTCCTAGTGGTGAGGTTTCCTCAGACACTTTTTGAGGAATGTTTCATTCCTCTTTAGTGTATGAAACCAATTGAACATTATTTGGGGGTTACATGTACAGTACATAAATGTAGTACAGAATGCATATTGAAAAAAATAAAAATTAACATTTAAATCATCCAAATTGTTTTAGAAAACAGAGGACATAATATTGTTAGTGCTGCCGTTATTTCGATTAGTGTTGGCACTCTTTAGTTTATAGGTTTTCTGTTCAGACTGTAACCGAAAAATGTGCTCATGAAACCTTTCAGAAAGTGGTGTCTGGTTGCTTGTTGTCATGTACACAAACAACAATGAATCACCAAAGAAAAGGAAATATTTGCATGTATACAGTACAAAAACATTCCAGCTTTTTTTGTGCCAAAGTTACAAGTACATGTAGATGTACATGTATATGTACAGTATGTCCAAGTACGTACATGTCATGCAAAGTTGAGATTTCTTCCTGGAATAGCATCACACTTTTTCTCATGAAAACTGAAGTTTGCATCAGCACAACTGAGAGGTATCAAAACACCATTCAAACTTGTAAAACAAAAACTGAAAGCCAGGTTAAGAAAGCATCAGGGTGCATTTTCAACGTTGCTGCAAAACTATTGCACTGTGACGGACCCTTTAAGGAGAAAATCCACAGCGAGTTAAATGAGACTATCAACTGGATCTGACATAATGCAAGCAAATACAAAGTCTGAAAGATTCATTCTGACAGGCACAATATTGCAATATTTGGTGGATGGGGCTCACGTACAAAAGACAAAATCACGGCACGTTTTTTTCTGCCACAAACTCCACAGCCTTTATTGCATGCATGCTTGATTGAAGGATGATTTTTCCCTGGGGGCAAGCTGTATTTGTTGAATCAATAGGTTCTACAAGATGAGAAGGAAATGAAACAGGACATAGAAATTAGTAAGATATTGGAATACATATGCCTGACACTTTACAAGCAATGGTTGGTATAGGGTGCAGAACAGCAAGATACATGTACACTAGAACATTTTTACTCTATTGTGTCTTTCAAAAAATGTTGAAGGGAAGGAGTAGCATGGGTGGGGCCTCTTCAGCCCCTCAAATTTTGAGGCATATTCAGTGAACGACAATTGAGTTGTCTTTGCCAGGTAAAAATGTTCGAAAACAATGTTGAAGACATTTCTGCATTGTAGGAGGACTTTTAAACCCTTGATGTCAGTCGTAGTGTAATGAAAACAATGTCCAACCTGGGCTACCGGTAGTTAGGGACCTACATGTATGTAAAGCCTGAGCTGTTTCTTTGTTGGAAGAGTCCCTCTATCACAGAGATTTCTTTCAAAATTTGGACTTTGCAAGGAATCCCAGGATGACATTTACATGTACAATGTACATGTACAAACCATTGCTTTTTTCTCTCTGTGTTCTAGAGAGTATAAAGTTTACTGGCTGATTCCAAGATGTGAACCAGTACATGTATAGACATGTACCAGTACAGGTACATCCGGTATGAACTGTATACCAAGTACAGACCTGTATACACTTGAACTTTGATCTGAAATTTCTACATGTATGTAAGAGTACACAAGTACTGTAGACAAGGAATGTCCTGAAAAAATGTGACCGGTCATAATCTTCTGTCCTTCTTTGCTGTTGTTGTAAATTTCCATTTAATTTTACTGGTCATAAACTTGGTATTTTATCAACTTGCTTTCGAGGGTCGTACTTCAACTTAAGTCCTTTCAATGCTTCCTTGCAATATTAAAGGGAACTACGGTATGTATTTCCAAGTACATGTACCAACTGTTTTTGACGATGATGAAGATAAAAATTTATGATACATACGTACATGTACACGTACACTGTACTACAGTAGATGCGATGGAGTTACTGGTAATGTCATAGTCTAATTATCACCTTTCAGTTGTGGCTGGATGACTTTAACCATGAGGCAAAAAAAAAAGAGATTCATAAAAGCAGTTAAAACATTAAAACAATGTTCAAAATGTTCCTACCGGTACCTGTTTGTATGGTAAATCATATGGGGCTGAATCAGCCGAAACTTGACAAAACTACATGTACACGTAGGAACAAAACCTACAGTTGGAGTTTGAGGGTCTTGGAGCAATTAAGGTTAAGCTAAAAGAGTCTGATTAACCAGGTTTCATACAAGTACAATTGTTTCTCTTAGCAGTACGTTGCACTGTTCTGTCCATCATTCTGACCCGCAAAATGCAGGAAGTGTAGGCACTTTGTAAATGACATTGCCTTTTTACTATCAGGTGGTTTTGGGTTTATTTGTTTGTTTGCTCGTTTTACTTCTGGGTAACTTAGTGGGAGCACCTCAAGTAACTGGTAATGAGAGCCTTTAGCCCTTGTTCTGAAGTAGCAGTATAGTACGGTTACATGTACAGCATTATACTTAGGCCACGCAATGCTTCTCAATATTTGTGACTCTACAAGGAGCCAAAAACCCACACGAGTTTGGTTAAAGTACAGTTACATCAATGGGGTGTACATTTATCCAGGGATATTGACAATGACAGCCTGTAGTATAGAAAAACAAAAGGAGAAATATACAGTCAACAATGTACATCTCTTCTCAGTGATGTAAAAAGCACAACTTCCACAAAATTAGATCTCATTTACTGGTACATGTATTTCAAACTGGCAATTGCAGTCTTAAATTAACTATGTACATGTACAAAGGAGGTCGCTCGCATAACAAGTACATGTAACTAGTGTTAATTTTAAGAGCAACTGTGAACGTGTACACGTGTACATGCACTTAAAACATTGTACAGTCACCTACATGTACATACATGTATATGGTGGTACATGTGATAAGACAAGAGGTTGAAGAGATACATCTTTTTCTGAAGAGTTAATTTCTCGAATTTAAAATACAAGGGGATGCCAAATGTGCACGTACATGACACACATGTAGGCCCACATGTATACTCTTTTATCTACATGTACCTCCTCTGACATTGTCTGAAGTATGTAACTCTAGCCCGAATGTTTGTGACATTGGGAAATCTGTGAATTTTTCTGTGCCATGATCAACAACACACATACATCATCTAGGGCTCAATTAGGGAAGATTTCACTTTAATACCCCTGCCCCGACCAAAACTTTTGGAAGAGCAAAATCTTCAATAACTACTAGGGGGCCCTTTTCCTTTGCATTCAGAATTATGAAAGTTTTAAGATTGTGCCCAGCATATTGCTTGGCACAACCTTACAACTTTCATCCGAAAGTCTTCATTTAACAAGGGAAGAGAGTTCAAATGATTCAGGGCATACAATTTAATTACAGGGAATTAAGTCTTTAACCCTAACCCACAAGGGTATATTTAAAATCATATTGAAATTGGCAGATTTGGGACTGTTAGGGTTAATAATCTAGCTCTATTCCTGTCATGCCTGTTGTCGTTCAACTACATGTACGCATGTACATGTAAGAAGTACGTGTCATCTCCAACACGCAACCTACATGTACTAGTACCCTGTCATGCCAAATGAGTCGAACACTTCTGCTTATTGAAACTTCAGACACCAAGTGACAGAAAGAAGTGCATCACCTGTGACCTAGGCCTAATCAGTCTAAAAATAAGGCTATCGCATGCTGCTTGAGCCTTGAGGATCCCCCGAACATCCGAATAAATCGTACATGTACTGTACACATACACGTTTGCAGGAGCAGACCTACATTGTTCTACCATGGATGGAGGTAGGAAGACAAACAGCGAAAGAGTGACCGGCGACCGAAACTTTCAAGGCGCTTGACCGTCAAAAGGGCCCTAGGCCTAACGTTACACATCTGCCATTTTAACGTTCAGGCCCAGCGGTATAATGTTTTCCTCCAACATGTCAAATAAGAACTATCTTTAAAAATCCGGATTTTCGTTCGCCGCTGACCTAAAAACTCACCTTCCTTCTTAGCGAATCGGTATCATATACAGTGTACCTCGGTCAGAATAAGCAGGACGTCGAGCGCGAGCTACACCACCTAAGTTTACTGGCGTCTTACGCGGAAATGACTCAGTTGGCTTGAATGTGTGCACGATACAAGGCAGCGCCAATCCGTTACGCTGTACAGGTGTTACGTGCTTGCGCGTCACTACGGTAGAGGCAGGAACCCGACTCAAATCTCAAACTTCCGCATTAACGCAATGAACTAAGTGCAGGTGGTGGTCCGGATACCAGGACTAAAGTTATCAAAAGTTTTCAGGGGCAACGTCAATCGGCAAACTTCACCTATATGGACATACATGTCCGCAGCGATGAAGGGGATAAAGTCCCATTCGATTTACTTACCGTCTTTAGAATTAGACCAACAGATTTTCAAAACAGAGTGTGGAAATGACTCTCTAACACACAGTGTGATTTCCTTACCCATTCCAAAAGTAATTATTTAATTTTCCTGCAAAGCAAGCGAAATGAATTTAACTTTATAGAGGGCGCTGTACAGTTGTCTCTCCATCATCATTGATAACATGGATAAGGGTGCACCACTACAAATAAATTCCCATAGACAGCAGTGATAAATACCTATATTTCAAAAATATTTCTAAAATACTCACAACTCTCATGCGTGTCCAAGCTGCACAGAAAAATGATGTTCCACATGTCCTCTTTCATTTTCCTTTCAATTTTTAGTTGGTTGACAGATGACTTTTTGAGAAATTCTCACCTAATGCAGACCACCCCCAAAACGAAGGAAATTTACTGCCCCGCAAAGTAACCATTTTGAAAATGCATCCCTCTGAAAAATGGCTCGAATAGTGCCACTTTCAGACTCGATTGCATCCAAATTGCTCACAATTGGAAGCCCTGAGCCCGGCCCAGAGGTTCAGTGCCATATTTCTTCAATTCCCCAGTTCCATGGATCTCAGGACCCTCTAATATAGAATATTTTGCGTGTATAACCTTTATTAATGAGCTCGGCGGACAGATTTCTGGCCTTTTTGCAAAGGTGCATCCATATATGGAGACCAACGGTCATCCTCAACTTGAACTAGCCTGAGTTCGTTTAGTTTGCTCAGTTTTTAGGAATGAGGATGAGCCAACTCCTGGGAATAGAAGAAACTGAAAACAGTAAAAAATATCAATATTTACTTTTTGGAGGTGAAAGGTCACTTCCAAAGTGCTCCCCGCAACCTTTACAGCAACGTCAGGTCCAAAGAGGAATAAACTCTCAATACAATTAACACTGATTGTGCACCTCCATGAGTTTGCAATGCGTTGGCCAATCATAATGCGCAAAATCTGTCAACCCAGTGCGCGTTTGGAAAGGGTCGACAGATTTTGTGCATTGTGCACGTGATGGGCCAAGGCCTTGCAAACCCTTGGAGGCAATAGTGAATCGCCCATATTTTAGTTAAATCTTTAAAGGTTAAACAAATGTTGCTATATTTTCGAAAATCCGTGAAAGTTTTCCACACAGCCTACAACTTGAAGCCTTGGGCATGACCATGACACGACTGCATCCATGCAGTAACAACAAGACTTTCCAAGGGGAGCATGTGGCGGAACATCGGCATCTCATTGTGACACAAACCTCTATTATCGTGTACCTTTGGTTGCGAAAAAATCCTTCAAAATAGAATGAGTCCACTTTGATAAAGATTAAATGCATAAGGGGTAAAATAACTGCATATATATTTCCCTGAAAACTTTTCTTTGTGAAACAGGTCTGACCTCCATTGTGATACGCTGATGAAACAATTTAGTTATTTGCAACATCCGCTGGGAAATGTTACGACAGTTTTCGATATGATTCATTTGACCGTCTTCGTCCTATAAGTATGCAGCAAACGTCGAGGTGCAGGATCATTGTGAATACTCATTGTGGCTACTCATTGTGGCCAGCATAAAATGAAACGAATAAAGAATGATGCTGTGCTAATGATATTACTAATTGACTTTTCTTGGTATAATAAATTTTGAGAAGCAATATGTCGGTGTTTATAGGGCATGGGGCTTGTAGCATCTTGGAGTTCTGTATTCAAGGATACGTCCCAAGCCCTCATCTCACTTGTGCCTGTACACAAACCCCTCTGCATCATATTCAAAAACTGAAAACAACCTTGACACGTATTGTGTTTGTTGATATTAACTGGCAGTAGCATAAAATGAACAGAAATACGTGTAACTTCCATCATGGGTCCGAAATAAATTTTCCTAAATCGAATACCGAGTGTGACGTCACTGTGATCCAGAAAGCGCAGTGCAAACGAAAAGAGTACGCACGCGTGTTCGTTCACGAGCTGGTTCTCGCGCTAATGCCTTTTGCACACTAGCTGTGCGCGTGATCGTGACAAACTGTTCATTTTTAATTCGGTTGACTATTTCTTCGAGGAAAGGGTGTCAGCACTGCAACAGAATAGCACTTGATTGTGGAGGATACTCGGGTGTGAACTCGCATAGGTCGCTGGCCTGATTTAAATAGTTAAAGGAAATTTCAATACTCTTTATTTTGAAAGAAAAAACATAAAATTACCATGGGCACCTTGAAAATAAAACTGGTGGCGCTCTTCAGGGTAGCCCCTTTTCCTGACAGTGTAGTAGCATGATTTTGCCACCTTAAAGGATGACTCGGATGAACTGTTATCCGGGACACGGACTCTTTCAAAAAGGAAAAGTTAATACTTATTCATAAATATCTAAGGAACTACGAGCGTTTATTATGCTACAAACGGAAGTGTATAAACTGTTCAGCAGGAAATTTGGTGTATGAAGTAAAATGACAGCCAAAACACGAATATTGGCTTGAGTTGGAATGTGTTCATCTAATCTTGCAAATTATGTGGAAAGCAAAGCATGTAGAAATAAGATTACTAATGAACACAAACCAAAAATTAAGTTGTGACCTTGCTTTGCATCTGTTTAATAACTTCGGCGTTTTTACATCCTGGCACGTGAAAAGTTACTGTTCCACTACAAGTGTAAAGATAAAAACACAAACTTTTCAAACATTTTACAAACAACACTGAGGCACCCCGATCCTCAGTAGGGCAAGGTATCCAAAAGGAAATCCCTGTTTTTCTTCCGGAACCAAAATATGGAAAATGACAAAAACTGTCAGGTTCTAAATTCCGGTAATTTCTTGTGTGGTTAAAGGTTCCTCACATTTTGCAAATTGTAACTGGACTGGCAGCACCTCGCAAATTTGTCAAAAAAAAAAAAAAAGGAGCTAAGGTGTTTCGAAATGTTTGTGGGGTTCGTCCTAGTTAACAAAGATATGAACAGGAATTTTGAACATGTTCAAAATTTATGTTCAAAATTCTTGGTGAATATTATGTCACCATTCGGCCTTTCTTGCCAGATCGTTTCAAAATACATGTAGTCCTAACATGCTCAAAGCCTTCTCGTGTGTTACGCGATGGGCTACAAACCATCTCAAACATGTTGCCAGCTTTCACCAAAATTAATAGAAAGCCATGGTTTGGACCCTGGGCTGGTCTATGGTAGGCCCTGGGCTGGACAGGAAGACCCAGGCCAGGAGTCAGGGCTGGTCTTGAACGTCCGTCTGGTGGTCCTGCACGTCTATTGTCTCCAGCGGCTGGATGCAGACTGAGGCTGACCTTGGTTTGGCTGGGGGGGGGGAGTTACACAAGCTGGTTGGTGGCCGTGACGTGATTCTAGTGGTGCAATTGTTGCTAAGTGCTTGCGCAACAATCTACGAAGTCGCATTTCCTTCACGTACGTTTGCATAAGGCGCCAAACCATCTCAAAACTGTTCTTAACATGTACAAGTCGCGGCTCTTCTCCGGCGAGTGTCCAAACCCAGTTTGCCAAGCTCGCTAAAGTTGCCACTCGCCAACTCTAGTGTGAGGCCGTCTTCAGGCAACCATCATGCCAAAAAATTTGCAAAGTTCCCCTCTAACGCAATAAAAAACGGGTGTTTTAAAGGTTGCCACGAGATCAGTCAGTCTGTCGCTACATGTATGTATTGTAATATTTTGTTTCCTTCTCAAGACACTGTGTAAGCTCCACCAGCAAAGCCATGATTGCAAATCACCGTTCCAGCCATCTCCTGCCCTCTATGCGTACATGTAGGTAGACGCACGAGCAACTCATGAGTTTCATAGTCGTAACTGAACTGCATGTACATATGTACAAGTATTTAGTTTATGGATCAACTTCAACCTCGGAATGGGAGCTGATTATGGGATTTCCCATCAGAGCCACTAAGTTTGGTTATAAATACAAAGGTCATACTCAAGACCACAATGATGAAAACACATGAGGGGCATGCTTAGGTAACTACGTGTAGAATTACCAGTAGACTTAGGACATTGGGTTGGTCTAGGGATCTTCCAGACTCAAAAGCCTACTCATTTCGGACGACATATGCCAAAAGTGAGGGTCATTAGAATAGAAGAATGACCTGCCATTATTTTGTGCAGGTTCCATCTCACGAAATGCAATTTACTTCAACATGTTTACTTCAACACATAGACCTCAACTTCACACTTAGCCAGTTTAGTCCACTGATATATGAATTTAAGTTGATATCCAACTTCTACTGGTTTGAAAACAGAATAGATGAAAAATGTGAAGTACAAATGGTCACTGGGCCTCAGTCAATTGAACGTAGTTTAGCCATTCTGCCTAAGCACATCAAACTGAAAAATGAGAGCAAATTTTTTATGATCATGTGTCAACACTTAATGTAAGTTCACAGGGGTGATAGCAAAGTGCTCACATGGCCAGTATTTACATAGTTCGTACACCACTTAATATCAATGGAAATACCCTCACTTGGCACTCCATAGCAGGCTTAAGAGTGCTCTCAACAGTCCTACAGAGTTCCTTCATACGATAGCAAAAAGGGAAGGAGTAGAATATTATGGAATACAGTATTACTAGCTTTTGTTTTATTCTTTAAAACAAAGTGCACTGGGCCAAACTGATCTTCTCTCATAAAGAAGGTGATAAACACAATATTTTTGAATGTGAAGAGGTACATTAAAAAGGTCAACATTCAGTCTAGCTGAATGACCAAAACACTGGCCCACAAAATCTCATTCACGTAGATGGCACCATGAGACAATGTATGCATGTACACACACACATGTATTTTACATTCCTCATGAAACATCTTGGAGTCTGCCTTCTATTGGAAAGTGTTCCACACACACAAACATTCCGTTCTATTCCCCAAATGTGTATAAGGCACATACAAGCTCAGCGTCTGTCTTAAACTTCTTTGTTTGGTGGACAAAGTCCTCCAATGCATCCTTGTACACGCAGGGATTGTTAAGGTAACCAGTTTTGATCCTAGCCACAAAGGCATCCAATTCGGCCAGCACCTTCTTCTGATGCACCTTTGGAGACACAACCATGCCCTTCCTCTTCGTTCCCTTGCACATCTTTCTTTCCTCCAGTGGCGTGTCATCGTATTCTGAGGCTGCTAGGTCAAAGTCATCAGTTTCACACACCTCATCTTCCCTGGGACGCTTTCGGGTTTGGGTTTTCTCTTCCTCCATGGTACCCCCAATTTGGAAAAGGAGCTCTCTCATGGCCTCATCCTTCACTGGGATAAAGTTCCAGGAGGGGATATAGAAGCCAGTCAGGACAGCTTTCTGGTGACAGCAAGGCCCACCTGTGCTGCCAACGCGGCAGGTGCAGAGTCCAACAGTCATGTCCACCCTGTAAGTGGTCTCCTCGGGTTTCTCATTTGGTATGAGGAACACCATTGCCGATTCCTGGATGATCTTGTCCTTGTGGGTGCACACAGTTGGACCCCCACTAGAGATGTAGCGTGACGCAAGGGCCTCATTTAGCCTGTTGTGGCCAACGTCCAGCAGGCGCTTCTGGTAATACTGGTCCATCCTTGTCAGCAGGAAATCAACCAGTTGGACGACAGTGTATGTCTTGGCCCGGTGGAAGATCTTGTCCTTCAGGATCCTCATGGCCGACTCACAGTAGTTACTTGTGTTGTTGCCACAAAGAGGCAAAGCGTTCCGGTAGCACAGTGCCCACTCTGTCCTCCTCTCATACATCCTGAGATACGTTGCTTTCACTGGTGAGTACTTGTTTGCAATGTCGTCATGCATGATGTTCTGATAGGACACTTCTAGGTCGGCATCCGACGATGCATACAGCATGGCCTTCATCATTTCGAACAGGTAGGGCCCGTCGCCCCTGTGGATCTTGAACTTGGGATCAAAAAGGTGTTTCCAGAAAGCCTGCAGGACTTGATAGATGCAAAGGATGAGAGTGGATCCTGGATAAACACCCTCCAGGGCAAACTTCTCAGCATCAATGTCATCAGTGAAGAAAACTTCAGGGCCTGCCATCCCTCGCCCGTAGAAGGCAGTATCACCTAAGATATCCTGGCCCAGCTGGATGGCAGACTGGATGAGCTGTTTTGAGTCACCAGTGGTTATGAACGCACCGAGGGGCAGGCCACCAGCAAAGCTGGGTGTCATCATCATGAAGACCTGGGTGTTGTGCCGGCTCATAGTGCCTGAGGCATCCATAAAGACCATCTCTCCAGCATACTTGATCAGGGCATGGGTGCGCTTCATGAGGGGCGTGACGATGGCCATCACCAGGTGATTGCTTTCCACTTTCCACCGGACACAGTCCCCATTCTCCAGGTTGTACTTGTCAATCTTCTCCTGCAACATGGCCACCATCTCCGGGTTGGAGTTGATGGTGAATGTTCTCTTGTCCCTCCGCTTACCCACTGCCTCGTCGATAATCTCCCCTGGCACAGGTAGGTGTTTCGGCCTCTCGCCCTGGTTGGTTTTTGCCTTTCCAAAAATCTGGTTGTACAACCTGTTAAAAAAATTTGAAAAACCTTTATTAAAAAGAGAAAAGGCACAGATTTCTGATTATTTTCATATTTGGGACGGTCCATCTTCCTTGGGTTTTTGTTTGATCAACCCACCAGCAAGTGAGACCTATGCTACATGTACATGTAGTTTAATATTAAAGGCACAGTTATCATACTCTATGAGGGGGGATACATGTATCTTGTGACGCTGGCGATGCTATCACTGGTCAAGGGCTGTAAACCCCACCGATGGTGGTAACCATTGTGAAAACTACTGTATAGAGCCACTGTTCCATTACAGTCGCTAAGTACAAGACCCAACACAATGCATTCCCCCATTAAAAGTGGGCTGATGAAAATGCAACATCACTGGATTCCCTAAACACACTTAAGCACTATCCACCCCGTCCTGAACACTGGTGCCGAAGAGACAGGACAGCAGGAATCGTTTCATCTGGGAGCACTATCCACTAATGGAGACCATGCACTGCAGCATATGCAATTGGTCAAATAAAGTGTGCTCTGAACTACAATGTATGGGTGCATGGTGCATTTCAAACCTAGGACATAGTTTGAAATGCTTGTTCCAGCACATAGAAGATTAGGTGTGTAGAAGCAGTATTTGTAACATTTGTTCTCGTACCTGTACTTGACTCAAGTACATGTACATGTTCTGGTAATTTGGAAAAAACTGCCATGTACTCATACAGAAGTACTCGTACTCATGTATAAAAATGTGAATGTACTCAACCACTTGGATTAACCTACAGTAACTTCTGTTTAATCATAATTTCACTTATTTACCGAATCATTCACCCATAAATGCACAGCTGCAGTGGCAATTAATAAGTGTTACAGCATAATAAATCTACATGTAACTCTGTATTTCTATGTACATGTACAGTGAACATGTACATGTATGTTCCCAGATCTCCCATGCTTACATGTATATTCAAACTGACCTCAACTTCCCAGTCAGTGCCAAAGTCGGGAAAGCAGTAAAGTGTGCAAGAACTGACACCTGATACTGAAATTCATCAGACTTTATTTGATTTGTCTAGAGCATCACTTTATCTGCCACTAAATGAAATTTTTCATTCCATTGCACAATTGTGAAAAATTCATTAAAATATAACATCATTTATTTGTATACTACTGATATCGCAACAGAGGATTAGAACATATTCCAGCTTTGGGGTGCCGGCACATCATATGTTTGCACTGTGTTTGAGTGAATCATTCAATGACATATTACTGACGACCCATCCATTAAATGATGGGGATTTACATGTTAATAAGGCTTTTCTAAGTGGTTTGTGAGGAGCCTTTACAAAGACAAAAATCACATGGAAGAGACTGCTGTAATGTACCTCCAAGTGAAGTTGAGATCGGGATTGTGGTGTCTGTCCCCGCTCAGGAAGACATAATCATCTCCATGCTCTATTTGCAGGTCATACTGGTGCATGTTGAGGGCACTGGTGGCCGAATGACCGGCCCGGAAGAGTTTTATCAGCTTCTTGCGCACGTCCTTGGAGACATCACGGTGCCGCAGCATGTTGGCCGCCTTCAGGGGGTGGTTGTGGTCATGCTTCAGGACAACCGTCATGGGCCACTTGGGGAGATGGTGATCTTCTGACCTGAGGGCAGTCAAAGCATCAGCAGAGTAGGAAATGGAACAGCTCACAGACACATGTACCATGTGTACAGTACACGTATTTACATGTACATGTAGCTAGTGCTAACTTGGACAGGTAATAAGAGGTGCTGGCAAAAAATGAAGTCCCTGGAACATTTCATCCAGGATGAAAGCTCTGGTAATTGTGTTTAGAATTGAGAACAGCCTTGAAAAGTTATTGGTGGTGTTCTGGCCTAGTGGTTAGGGTTTATATCTTCTGATCATAGGGTCAGGGTTCAAATCCAGCTGGTGGCAGCATGTTGTAATCTTGGGCAAATCACTTTACTCCTATGTGCCTCTCTGCACCCAGGAGTGAATGGGTACCTGTGAGGGCAGACACGGTTATGTTTAGCTGTTTGCGCCGAAATGGCAGCACTAGGCTAGTATATACTCCCCAGGGAGCCGAGATGATTTCAGGAATGTTCGGATAATGTGTGAGCCCAATGTGCAGGGATAATGATAATACAGTGTGTTGGAATAGTTTACTAGATAGATCATGCTTTACAAGTGCTTGCTCTTTTTATTATTATTATAGCACTGCTATAGATTGCTTTATGCTTTTTCAAAAAGAAGACACGTACATGTACACAGTCTGGATGATGTTGCAACTGCCATGTCTCATCAGTTGAGATATGACATGGGCAGGTTCCTAGAACAGACTCTCATCTGCTACTAAAATGTAAACATGTATGAGGAAATGGCCACAGTGTCACACCTGCTGGATAGCCAAGTCATTCCTGCAAATTCAAGTCAACAAACCCAAAAAGGTGTAGAACATGAAAACATGTACATGTGCTACACCAAACTGTTGTGTTGCCTGATCGTGTAATGACACATGATTGCAAATCCCCTAAAACATCTGCATTAGGAGTACACACTGCATGTCAGTGTGCAATATACACATGTATGAAACACATTTTACATGTTTCATTTTATACAAACAATGTGTTTTCCATGATCATGAATATGCGCTTTCCCAGTGAGGCAGTCTAAATGTTGTCGTAAGTTTGCTATAGGCAAGTAGCTCTGAAATCTACTTTTTAGGTTGTTTTTCAGCATAACATTTGTAGAGCCAATGATTTTCCGCATTCGTGGAAAATGGACAGAGTTCACAGAATCAACACTTTGAAACGGAATCCACTGTGTAAAACGGAACCTGCAAAATTTCTCACTAAGAATGGCTTAAAAAGTAAAGAAAACTTTCTACAAAGTACTACAAATAGATGCCTACTAAACCCTTTTAAAATGCAGGCTTTTTAATGAACAAATTATGCTGGAAACATGCTGAATTGCACCTTTTCACCACATGACTGGGTTGTCTGCGCTTAGTAGTACCGATACTTGCGCTATGGTGTGTGTGAGCCCCAAGTGTCCAGCGGCAGCCAGCACAGCACAGTGGCGCTGTACGGACATTGGCCATTCACACGTACACTGTACTAACAATGAAATCAAGGCGCAAACAAGTTCATAATTACACACATGCTTATTGCACACATGGGGTAATCCACATAGACGCCTTGTAACTAGGCTAGTATCGCATGGCGAAATGATCAAAACGCGGCAGCAAAACGGAAGACTAATCACATATTTCTTGAATTAAACGAAACCCAGTACAGGTGAGCTTGGTGTACCATAGCTGAATGAGCCCTAAGAAGTGTTTGACGAAGAGAATTTTAAGGCAAAGATTTAATGTTAACTTTCCAAATTTTATTGTGCCACTGCCAAATAAAATGGCGGGTCAATGTCCAATATTAACATATTGTGATCAACGACTGTTGCATGCAGGACCTATTCTACAACTTCACTGTACATGTATTTAATGTAATTTGAATTTATACACAAGGAGTGACGCATGAATTGTCCGCTGATTAATCGCAGCAAGTTTTTGACTGGTTTTTCAGCAAGTTTTTTTGCACTGGTTAGAAATGCCACATTTATTGTGTAAATTTTTTTTTAACATTTTCATTACAAAAAAAATCATAAAAAGATTTGGAAACATTGCAGAGTATTTCAAACAATAGTTTTTTCTTTTGCTTTCTTTTGTTTGGTCATGTTGGTTGGGTATTTATCCATAGTTTAAAACTTACTCTCCTTTTCATGCGCACTAAGGTATGAAATGGAATTTGAATTTCTGAATTGGAATTCAGGATTTGACGAAATGGAAAATACCCTTTTTCAAAATGGAAAATCATATAGTTGATGCAATTTTAAAAGTTTAACAACAAATTCTGTTGAGAATGACTGTAACAGTGTATTAACAAGCAACACAAAAGAGGCTTTTTCTCGACTAAACTTACCGGCACATTCTTTCTTTACCATTGTGGCGTTTGAATTCGGTCCTCCTGACGATAACAATGAGCACGGCTGGGCAATTGGTGTTCTTGGAACCCTTTCGTAAGTCGGCCGATTTGGAGCGTGGGCAGGTCATGTGCTGACACCTCTTCTCCAGCTGCATTTACGCAAATGTACACGCAAAATGGGTAGAATTTCCAAATGTGAAAAGGAGATGCTAAGCATGGCATACACGTAATTCAAAGAAAAAAGAAAGGCATTTGGGAGATTGATGGGATTCATCATACTGAAAACTGGTTGTCATTGACTTTGACACTAAGCCTACAGCACTCCTACCTTTCAAAATGGTAACAAAAAATGTTTCAAACATGGATTTGGGTCATCCTACAAACCGGGGGTCCAAAAGTGTTGATTTGTGCATACCGATGTACATGTATATGCCTTTGATTGTGGGAGCAAGGTGTGTGGTGGCAATGGATAAGAAGCTCCATTGAAAAATACACATGTACACGTACAGTGTACGTGTACATGTACATGTATATACAGCAAAATGTAATTAGATACACGTACACATAGTGTGCGTACATACACATGCAGTACAATGTACATGTATTTGGCCAACGAGTGCCGAACTGTAAGTACTGTACATACATGTACATGTACGTGTATAGGTATTGTACAATGCAGGCCTGGCTTAGACTGCAATGGGAAAAACTGAGCGAAAGACCCAGTTGGCTTGTGATCAAGTGGGTATAAATAAAATGAGCTAAGTAACATGTACACGTGTACATACACGTACATGTATAAGGTCTTGTGCTGTAATGCACATGAGATCAGTAGGTTGAAATTGTGGTAACTGAGCTTGTCTCAGACAAACTTTAAATCAATAAACCAAGTTTGTTTGGGGGCTTAGACTAAATGTGACACACTTTGTGAAAATACATGTAAGTTACAAGTCGCCAGAGCTACTTTTGAGTTTTAGATTATATTGGAAACAGGAAATTTGGCCCTCTGTTTTGATGTGTCACTGAATTTGATATCCAGATGAAAATGGATGGAACATGTACATGTATGAAGATGAATAAACTTCTGGGATTCCTATTGCTTTACATTGTGTGAGAGTTGCTTGCAGGTTTTGCTCTGGCGACTTGTGACTCATTTTCACAGAGAAGGTCACAAATACATGTTCTGTACATTTACATTTAGTCTGGGCGCACATAAATCTGGGTCAAGCGGGTAAGATTTCGTATTCCCTTCTTTAAAAAACCCACCAAATGAACTTACACGACACAGTGTCCTGCTGCCCCGGTTTGGATATGTCCTTGCTGTTCGCCATGTTGCCAGTGTTGTCTCCTGGTACTTGGCTAGCCACTCTTTGGCCGACAGCTCATCCTTTATGTTTACTCGGAAATCCACCCGGGGCACGTTTCTGGAAGTCTCCTGCTGACAGCAAATATACTGGTACCCATGCGGTAAGGTTTCCTGTAGTATTCAAGAATGCATCAATTGAAACACCATCACTATTTGTTATAATAGAATCCAGACTGGAAGCACTCCCTTAGCAAAGAAGAAACAGGTTGGTGGGAATTATTTCCTCTAGTCCTTGATCAAATGTGGTGAGTTCCCACCAAGGGACTGTAACATCTCTTGTTCCTGCCTGGAGCTGGTAATCAAGTACACTCAGTAGACTTGTCCAGTGGCACCCTACAATCAGCATGCAGCTGCATATGTACATGTATGTATGTACAGTGTATCTTGATGATCTATGAGCAATCCGCGGTCATGAAATCCCCATATGAATGATGCAAGGACAATACGGTTTGTGGAAACATGTTATACGTGTACATGTACATGGATGCATTCAAATGCACTTTGACAATATTATCATTTTTTGCTCATTGTAACGTTGACACTGGGAAGTGACATTGAAAATATTGAAAGGACCTTATTAAGAAAACTAATACCGACATCTCCTATTCATGGTTTTCCGTGGTTGTAACATTTGCTGTAAAAGGAGAGTACAGAACTACATGTAGGTACACTGTACATGTATGCGACATCTTGCAATCTTGGCCACTATGCATTGTAGTCATGTTGCGTGTTACCAATATTTGCATACATGCGTCAGTAGTGTTTTTTTAACTGAGGTCAAAAATATCCACATGCTATTTTTGACTTTTTCTCCCATATTTTCCATTCATGTTTAGCTATTTAAGTTGTTTTTATGAATTTTTTGCCATTTTACTTGATCATCAAGTTGATAAAGTAACTGAAAAAAAACTTGTTTTGATGCAGTCTTTTTCCCACCTTTTCTGTGCCATTGCACACTCCTGCTTGTATTCCTAGAAGTAAACGGTAGAATTTTGTTTTAAACTGCAGTCTTGGACAATGGTAGGATCCCCATCTACATGTATGCACTGGCATGACTGGGCCGGGGGGGGACACAGTGTGTTCATGTATGTACATGTATGGAGGGTAAAGGTGGGGGTATTCACCTACATAAGAAAAGCAAGAAATTCAACCAGCTGTGTAGTCTTTGAATGCAGTTGGTCAAATTTTCCTCCTGGTCGAAAATTCCCGCACTCACCCTATGCACACGTACGTACATGTACCAGTGCCTTGCCCTTGGGCTGTATGTTGTTAGTACATGTATGTTACTGTGCTGTTTTCACTCTTTACATCTGTTTATAAATCTACAATTTACAAAGTCATGAAAGTACAAAACTTTACCGTATGAACCTCACAGAGCTGACTGTGTCAGTGTCACTAACTTACAGGCATGACAGGTACATGTTAGCCAAGGTTGAACGTTGTCTTCATTTAGCCTACACTACTGTCCGTGCTTCATGCACTACGACTGATAGTCGCAATCAAGCCTACTGAGGAAGGAAGACATCGGTTAACCAAGCGATAAATTAAACTACCTTGAGTGCTTGCAGGCTTCCTTCTTGTCGAGTAGACGGGCAATACTCACACCATTTTATGTCAACCTCTGGCAGATTGGTTACTTCACCGTTTTCATTAGAAATTTCCTCCATTTTTTTGTACGAATTCACGATTTTGAGCTCGACAACTAATGATAAACGATTGAGGGCGCTGCACATTACGGTTGCACAAACAGTGCAAAATCGGACCGAAATAGCGCCGCCTGTTGACTCTCGTGAAAAGGTTGGCCTCCGTTTTTTCACTGGAAATTCAGGATTATGGCCAGAAGATCACTTTTCGTTTGAATTCCATGGGGGTTAGCCACAGGTTTTTTTTTATTTGCTTTTGAACGAAGATACCCCCCAAATAGCAGTAAAACCTAGCGCTTATCTCTGAATGTAGACTCCCGCCTCTATCCAAAATAGGTCCGCAATTTGGGGCTTTTTGTTGAAGAAATGCCCCGAACTGGAAACATCAGTCCCGAATTCGGGATTTATGGAAGTATTTCTATGATGCCTCCTGATTTTGGCCCGTCTCACTGTACTGTAAAAACCTCGTGGGATTACAAAATATTAATGAGCTTGCGCGCAGAAATACAACCATTTGGTGGAATGCACTGCCTTTAGTACACGTACATGTAGGTTCCAGATGTTGTGATTGACCACTTTTGAAGATTAAAAGAGGAAAGGGGTAAAAGCACTTTTCCAGGGGATTTTTTTTTTCGGAGGGAGGGGGAAGATCTCATCGGCATAGAACTTATAGGCCATTCATTAGGATGGGGCAATTTTTCAGGCAAACTGGTGATTTCCATCCCCTTTCATTTCTTTTCCCCCTTTCTCTCGCTTTTTTGCCCCTCCAATTTAATGTTTTTTTTCTCTCTTTTCCAGGAGGAGGGGTAAGGGCCACTTGTCCCTTAGCTGCAACGCCCACCGTATTGCCGTTGATAGTCGACGGTCTCTCTTCGACGCGAATTTTTTTCACGCGGTATCTGGAGCTGACTATTCCGTTGAGTCCGTTTCATTTTTCAGGGTTGCAGAGCCCCGAGTCCCTTTTAAAGGTATATTAATGCTTCAGTGGTTGTCCCCTAGCCTTTACAGCTCTTACAAACCATCAAAAACCACCAAAAGTACAGTACCGTGGGGGGCCATTTTTCCAGGCTATCCCGATTTGAGAGGGGGGCCTCGCCACGCGCCAGCCAAGCCACACCACCACTACAACACCCCCAACCAAAATTACACTTCAAAGACAGCCGAAAGAGGCCTCTGACAAGTTCCAGACAGCTGTTACTGATAAAAAACATTCCACTCCCTGCCCCAGGCACCGTTTTGTAAACAACCCATTAGATTGTACACAGCACACAGTCCTATGGGAATTGGCTGGAGGCTGGCTCAAGGACGGCTGGATTTTTTGCATTTTTTCTGGCTAGGGGAGGCCCTGGCTGTAAAATGACTAAACCAGGTTTTTCAGCATGTACAGGGGTAAGATAAGATAAGTAGTTGTGGAATTTGGACTAAAAAAAATGTTAATTAGCTCCAATGGACTCGCCAAAAGAGGCCGCTCCCTCTACCGAGCGTTAATTAATTAAAAACCAACGAAAAAAGTGAAAAATACTAAGATAACAATTTATCAAAAGCGTCTTTACCCATTCAGGATTTTTCCTCCGGTTACATTCGTGTGCACCAAGAATATTAATACCTTGATTGCGCCTGCTAAGTCACTTGTTTGAACCAACATAGTGGATTAGGTGTCAGTGCAAATTGAAAACTTAGTAGCACACATGCTGTACTGCACACATTATGAACAGCAGTTTTGTTCCTCAAAGGTGCTGAGTTGGTTTTACTCCCTCTATGGCTCTGGATACGACCAGAGCTGTTGGCCTACTACATCATATCGCCACATAGGTGTGGTTTACTGATTAAAAAATAAAGAAAACTTCTTCTCTACAATTCTTGAAAGTTCATGACCACGGTTCGTGGTGATCCCTGGCCAGTGTTCTTTTATGTTAGCTAATTTATATTAGTTATGTCCTTCGAAGGCGAATCTTAATCAAGAGCTATAATAATTATAGGTAAATTCCAGTTTCGGAAAATGCGCTGTTTAGTTCGTGTCACTGATCCATCAAGTATACATGAGAAACAGCGACCTGGTTGGAATTTGGCATTTAGTAGTTGAAGTTTTATGATTTCCATATCGACCTTTATATTTTCGTGTATACCAAACTAGGCTTACACATCCACGCGGTCAATTCATTTGCTTGCAGTGACTCTTATCGAGTTGAGTCATTTAGCTTATCCTTTGGGATTCGACTTCGGTCACAAACTAGAGCCTTCCAGTCAGCACAGTGTTTTCGTGATGACCTACTTCGCCAAATCGACCATGCATTCTCACAATGTAATCCTAATAATATTATTTAAATCACTGGTAGCAGGCCACAGGTGGTCGGGTGGGGGGGGGCTAATACTGCTTGTTTCTGACCGTACAATGACCACAAAGTGAACTAATCATACACCCGGCGCCACAAAAAGTCCCCTTGGCCTGATTGCTGACATAAACTTTAACTCAGTAAACTAGACCATTTTAACTGAAACATTGGTTTGCTTCTTCAACTGCACGTTGATGGATTGGTTGATCAGGATGTAGGCTATGGATAATGGATGGGCTTTCAAGCGTTTGTGGGTCGGTTGATAAAATGTTTCCTGTGAAGATCGATGGTTTCGATATCAGAAAATAGTTTATTTGTACTGTTTGGAGGGTTCTGTCGTGCATGCTGCCCCTTACTGCAAACATTGCTTTAAGTCGATAACCCAAGTCGATTGAAAAAAAGTGGAAGTTAAGAGTCCATTACTGCCTCTTATGAGTACCTAGACTTGAGCACTTTATTGACACATCGCAGTCTCAGTGATATGAAACCACAACGTACGTGTACAGGAGAGCTCTTCACAATGAAGTTTCTCACCCCCGAAATGTCATCAAAGCAACCAATGAACACTTGACGTGTAAATCTGTACTAGACGGTTGGAGTGTTTTAGAGTAACATCACGACAAGAAAATTTCTACTGAAGGCCAGTGATGACGAAAGGCAAACGCGTATCATGGGAAGATTATCAACCAATTTTGGGGGGACAATCTGGGGGCAACAGGCAATGAGCATTGGCCGATTTGTGAGTAATGTTACACTCTCTGGGGAGGAAAGAATGAAAAGGAAAAGTGGCTCATTCCTCTCTTGCTTAAATTTTAATAAAGAAATAAAGGCATAACAACGTAATTTTCGCTTAGGGGGTGGGGTGGTGGTGGCCCTATTGGCTCCCTCTCACGATGTGGCACATGTGTGCGTGCTTGATGACGATAACACGAGAGACTTCAGGCTTCCTTGTTATCCTCATCTTCCAGTTAATACTCCAGCTGATGATAATTTTAATTTGAGGGATTTGTTCGTGCATACTATTCTCAATCACCAAAACTGGCTTATTTAGATCTTAGGACATTTATTTATTTACCCAGAGCAATCCCATGAAAATGCACATGAAGCAACTACTTTGGAAATTAAATTCTTTGAGTACGGACAATTCTTTATAGCCACGTACAAGGTTTGCGCCACTAGGCTTGCACCACCTTCACAAACGTGTAGTTCAATCTTTACACGAGTAAAAAGATGAAAACATAACATGCCATTGTGCCTTTGTCTGTCTTTATGTGATCATTATCCCTTCCTACTAGTCACAATTTTATGATTGACATGAATTAAGCAGGATTAAAAAAGTTTGTATTGTAATATTTATTATTCATTTAGGCCAACTTATGTTTTCAATGTCAACAAGGAAATGAAAGCACAAGTTTTTAGAGTGGGCTAAGTACATTTGTCAAAATGGTTTCGTCGATGTTAAGTACATTGCGACAGTTTTCAAGGGTGTGAGTGACATGCCATGCCCACGATATAAAGGTAATTGGCCCTTGTGATTTTTGGCCAGTTTATCGTTCTTGATCAGATCTGACCAGCAACTTAATTATCGTCCGACTGGAGCTCCTTTTCAGAAGTGATGACATCTAGCTACAACCTGCGGATTGCCTTCGTGGCAGTCCTTTTCGGTAAGCCACATCAGTACGTGTACATAGCCCTATATTTTGTCTGGAAATGCATTGACCGCCATGGACGGCCAAAGTTTGGAGAAAGCTTCACCCTTGTATGGCAACAATCCTTGCCTCAAAATGCACATCATTTATTAAACTGGAGGTGTTTTCATGTGGTATTAAGCATAGGAAACTGTTATTTAGTGTTTTGATATTTGAATATGAATATTTGAGTATACTATTTGAATATATTTGATACTCATATGAATTTTTAAAACGCTTTTTAAAGAGACCTTCACTAATAAATTCATAATTATGCACGCATGCGCACAAATGGCCTTTGCGGCAAGAAGTGTGAACGGGCCATTGAAAAGGTACAGGGTTGTGACTTTGATGATCATTTTCTCTCAGGTTTTCTGGCTTGTTCAATTTCTTTCTTCAGAAAATCCTAAGAAATCGTTTTTGCTATTAGTTTCTAATCTAAGCGGGAGTTTTAGTGTTGTGCAAAAAGATCTTATAGTCGTAATTAATCCTGTGCGCACGAGAACGCCGTTTCTTAGCATGGTTTCCTTCAATCATACGTAGTATAAATTACATCATTAGTGTTCTTAGAGCAAACCTGTGCATTTGTAAACAAGTGGTGATGCTTATGCAGTGAACATGTACTGTACGTACATACATACATGTAGCTTACCATTGAACCTGGTCATAGCTTGGAGCAATACCTTTTAATTAATACCCATTCAATTCGCTGCTTTTGCACTTAGGAAATCTGAAGAACCAGATCCCTTTCTCCTTGGAATCTGGACTCTGCGTTGTCGTACAAATCTAAACACAACAACTGGATACCACCTCCTTCGGTATATTACTCCAAGCTTGTTGTTGGAAGTTAATTCATATTGTGTTCAATCATATGAATACTAACAAAAGCTTGAAATATCTTTGACAATCCATCGTTACTTGAAAGTAACTTCCACGTTAAATAGCTTTATAAGTCCTATGCACCCTGCGCATTGTTTACCTGGAGTAGGCCTATTATGTTGCACATTTAACGGAGTATTGACGTTGTATGTCCTCTGAACGTTCCAACCTGCATGTTGACCTTGGTCTTTTGCCATTGTGCAGTCCGAACGTAAGGAGTTTGCGTTATAGTGATAGCTGCTTGGATACTTTGATGTAGGAAAAGTATCCATAAGCCTATAGAGTCATCCATTTCAATTAAAAAAAATGAGATTAGTCAAAAGTGTAAGTATCAGACACATGTGTTTCACATGTCGAAAGAGATTACAGTAGTATGGCAAATCCATTCATATTTACTGATACCTGGTAAGAAAAGTTGGTAAAGCAATTGAAATAGTCTCGTTTATTTCAGTTATTTTGATTAGTCCGTCAAACAAACAAAAATGAGCGAATTATAACTGCATATAAAGGTTATTTTAAAGCTTAATAATATGAACATTCATATAGTTTTGCTTCAACATGTTGCTGCAAAAACCACCTGTCAGCATTAAAGGCAGGCTGTTTTCGCGTTAATGTGGATTCGACATACCAATGAGCAAACTAACCGGACCAAAACGTTCTTGTTTTAGGTCAAAGTAATGATTATATCAATAATCCATCACTTCTACGTCTGAGTGTTATATGGGAGAGATTATTTTTACGTGTAATGGTGTCCCCACAAAAACAACCGACGAATAAGATCATTGTTAACGTAATCAATCAGGATGTGTAAGCGGGTCTTGGAACCAAACCAAGTACCCGATTCCATTCGCCAAATATCTTCCTGTGACTTTTGCAGGACTCAGTTCATCACATCCTGTCAATGGGGATGAAGAACATGCAGGGACATCCGGTAAGTTGAATGTATTACGCCGGGATAGTCTTATGACTCAGTTTTGTTGAAATTCTGACAATTTTTATGATCTGCGAGTGACAAAAGATATCTTGCAAATTAAGACAGTCGTCTTAAGCGTCGAGTCCAACCACACAAACACAATATAAACCTTTTCCTGTGTTTGGTTTGTTTTTTACGAACGCTGATAAACATTAAAAGTTCTGAAACTGTGCATACTTACAGGCAAATTTGTTTTGAGAGAATTTGTCTTTCAACGTTTGTACCATTAACTCTGAAAGAGGCAGGTCCGGAGTCTTTCCCAACATTTGTTTTTTTTCGAGTTCACCGCAGTGCATGCTTTTTTTACGAGCCGAACCTTTAGAACACCAATTTATATACCACCTGTGAAAAATGGAAAATGCCGTTTTCACACAGTGCCCATTGTTCCGAGATAGGTCAGCAAAATATGACTACTCTTTTCCACTGCCGTGCTCAATGCATGCGGCGGACACTCATGTGGCATAAACTTCAAATGACCTTAACAAACATGTACGTAGGATTGAGTCGATAGTTGAAAATTGTACTGTTGATGAAGGTTTCTACATGCATGTTACGAGTTAAAATATCGGGCATGGGACAGCTAAGTTCAATGGGTTGGAATCCGCTCCTGGCTGTGAGATGGTCCAAAACAACCCGGCCCTTAATATAATAATTGTGCCTTTTTCACCCCTGAAAAGCAGAGTAGTTGTTTTACCGTCTTATACGAAAAATTAAACAGTCGAAAAAGGTTTTTTGTGTTTTTTGGATGCTAAAAACTTTCAATGTCATATCCGAAACCAAAATTAAAAAGACTATAACTGGAAATTAAAACCTTGTCTCGTTCTAGCAAACCGTGAACGACTTCAGTATTTTCAATAGATGTATAGCGAGTATTATAATGTACACGTACCTTAAACTCGATAGGGGACGTTTTAACGATTTTGTTCGTTTTCCTAGCACCATGTACAAGTGGGCCTCTAGGCATGCAAAATGGTGCCCTCCCAGACAGAAGCATCACGGCGTCATCATACTATTTTGGTTACTACCCACGCTACGCTCGCCTCAATGTCGGTAGGTCTTTGTTGGTCTCCGATTGCTCCTTTTCGTGAACACCTTAGGCTAAATCAGTGGAACAGAGCAAATTGAAAATCTGTTGCCTTGTATTACCTTGCACTCTTTCCTCCACCGTACTCACTGTATATCACATTTGCAGCGGTTGAATTGCAGAGAAGTCGTTTTGCCGTTGTTTGTGCTCAATTCTATGCATAAAGCACGACCTTCGAAAACAACGCAAATGCAACATCAGCATAAATAATACCAGCGGTATTGAGGTGCATTCATTTAAAAGGCTGCACTCTGTTCGCCAATGCGTATAGCATTGGAGCTTTCAAGATGCTTCTTATACACAGTGGCGTAACTGCGGTAAGTTTTGCAGAGGCCACTTTGAGGCTTCATTTTCAGTGGGGGGGGGGACTTAAACAACAAGCGAATGAATTTTGGGTTCTTCCCGTTCAAGGCTCTATTCCAGGCCCACAAAACAGGTACCAGTGATCAGTAAATATATTATATTAAAACTTACCATGGTCCTTAGTTTCTTTCATTCGCTTATATACTGCATGTTTGACTTAATACAAACAGATCTATCTCAGGTATTTGTCCTCGCTTGCGTGATAGTCCCAAAGAGAGTATAATTTCATCATTCCCAACAGGAAATTACGGATGGAGACCAAGATATACATCAAACCAGTGGATCCAAGTTGATCTGGGTCAACCCACTGCGGTTACTGGGGTCACCATGCAAGGAAGATACATTGCGACCAGTTACTATGTTCGGGCATTTTCAGTGCAGTACAGCCTCACTGCTGAGTCAGGTGACTGGCGTAGTTTGTCAAGTGCAAACGACGAACCCATCACAGTAAGTATAGTGCGCCGTCGATGTTCGCTGCCCATGGTCATTACTTCACTCATCAATTCAGACTTAGCACCTACATTTCAGTTAAGATAAGTGTTATCTTGTTTGCCTTCAGGAGGGGATGTTGACCATAGGCCTATAAACCCTCTCTAAAAGGATTCTCTCACTGAACCTACGGCTGGATTATAATATGCAGAGTGTGCCAAGGGCCTAGATTCGGAGGTTTGCGAAAATGTTTGCATATAATTGGAAGTGTTTCTCGAAAACAAACCTCACCATTCACGTATTAATTACGTATTAGTTAAAAATTAACTATAAAAATAAATATTAACACAAAATGCTAGGTTCTATAAAAGAAACACTTACCAGCATTGCATGAGATCAGTGCTTATGGGCGCGGCGGAGTATATACGGTACGTAGGACGTGTCTTTTATTTCTCCATGGTAGGACCAGGCGTGTAGGTCCTTCAAAACAACAGTGCCTAGGGCCTACGGAACACTATAGGGTCTACAGTATGCGGAACACGGTGCCTAGGGCCCACTGAACAACGGTGCCATGCGGAATGAAAATTTTAAGCACTTTAGGTTTCATATAACTTAAAAAAACTGCTGATGTTTACTTCATGAAAGTTATTAAACCATAGTTAAAATTTCGACAACATTTTTTGAGTAGAATTAGCTGATGGAATTGTTTCTAATGATTATTTTTCCAGTTCTTAGTGTACAGTGGTCGACCAACGAACGTCACCTTCCCGTTGGTACCGATAGCAAGGTTTATTCGCATATTACCAACTCAGTCGTATGGTTCCTGCTACTATCTAAGATTTGAGGTGCTCGGGTGCCAAGGTATACAGAAATCTATTGCATTCGCCCAAAAGGTATAATTTAACTCTGTAACACGGTTAACGACATTTGAAGTCGGTGGTAAATGAAACTTCAGCTTTAACCTAAACTTATGGACAAGGAACTGTTACATTCCAACGCACCACAGGGAACCGAAAACCTCACTTGGTTTCGAGAAAAACCAGCTGATCGTCGGACAAGGGCTGAAGTAAGAGCAGTAGGTTGGTAAGAGCAGCTCTCCTACACTGCCAACAGTGTTGACGGCCGAACTTGCCAACCAGTGACAGTAGCGCGTATGCACTTGTCTCGTTTGCATATTTCATGGGACGGTCATTGAGTCATTATAAAGACATGCACAAACTAATGCCGCCTGCGTTCGTTCCCATGGATTCGATTTTGCAGTGTTTTGCTGGTCTCTATGATGCCTTGTTCGACGATTCTCACGTTACCCACGGGGACGAGGCTAAATAGTGACTCTGGTCAGAATTAAGGCGGCCGGGATATACTTTATGCAGTGGCAATGAGGATCAATAGGCTGAACCAAAATTAAGGCATGCATGAAAGGTAGGATTGCAAGGGCTAGGCGAGATACGCCACTGTGTGGTGCCATCGTAGTTTAAATCTGTAAGCCTCCCAATTCAGGCAGAACCAAAATCTTGGGTCCATGGGGCCAAAATTTAACCTCTTTTAGACTGAGACAAAATAGTATTGAAACTTCGAGGTCAGTATCCATCACTGTTGAAATTTCTCACTGAAATTCATATATACGAAATAACTGGCTAGAGGCATTTAATTGTCTTTATGAACGCAATTTGTAAGGTTAATGTAAGTTAATTTGTAAGGTAATTCTAAGTGTGTGCCGTGAAGCACACGTTTACAGAAGGAGGGGAAGGCTCTGCATGAAGACGAAGAACGTATTTTTAACACTCTTTAAAGTCCCAGAAGATGGGTCGATAAAGTTGGTTGACGGCGATGATCGTCACAGCGGCCGAGTAGAGATCTACCACCACGGCGAAGGTGTTAGCTGGGGTGCCGTCTGTGCGGACAGTTGGGACATCAACGACGCCAACGTTGTTTGCCGTCAGCTTGACCTCGGTGCCGCTATTCAGGCGAGCACAGCGTCAGACTTCGGGAGTGGTGACCTGCCGATCGTGATGAACAAAGTCGCCTGCGAAGGGACAGAGAGTCGGCTAGCTGACTGCCCGTTCGTCTGCACCAAGTATCAGCAGTGTAACGACTCAACTATTGCCGGGGTGGTTTGCCAACCGAAACTTAGTAAATATAAAATTTCCTCCTTCAATCCATCCATTGTCTCACACTGTCAATATTTTCATCGATGAAAGCGCCATTATTGATCACCAACGTCGTCACCACCATTGCGAGCCCCGTCACAAGCATCTTCATCTCTACTCTTTGTTTCCTTATGTCAATCTTGCCTGTAAAAAAAAAGATCTCTCTCACGCGGTTTGTGTCAAGTCTTTCCCTCTCATGTGACGCCAATAATACCCCCCTCCAAAATAATACAAAGAAAACTACCACCTTTTCTGCACCACAGATTCTAGTTGTAACAAGCCAAATTCTTTTCATTTTTCTATCATAAAATCGTCAAAACTTATGCGTCGAATCTCTTCTTATTCCAAATAATTGTTACTGTCGAAATATAATATGGACATTGTAAGTATCTTTCACTCATTTAAGGTGTGCTTTCAGACAAATGTTTTATTTAGTCTGAGAAATCGGAGGAAAATCAAAATAAAACCCAAGAAACAAAACCAAATGAAAAATCTGATTAGTGCTACTTCATTGAGCGTTATTTCTCTGAACTTACAGACACCATTCGGTTGGTGGGAGGCTCCAATAACACCAGTGGTCGAGTGGAGATCTACCGCAACGACACTTGGGGCACGATCTGCGACGACAAGTGGGACATCGACGACGCTTCCGTGGTCTGCCGTGAGCTCGGGTTCGAGGACGCAAAGGAGGCCAAGTCCGGCGCCTACTTTGGCCAGGGGAGGGGGCCCGTCCACATGGACGGTGTGGCCTGTGCCGGTTCGGAGGACGCCCTCGGTGATTGTCCGTCCCGTTGCTGGGAGGAGTCGACTTGTGGCCACAGCCAAGATGCTGGAGTGATCTGTCTTGGCGGTAAAGATGACTGAATCACCTCGTTTTTACTTATTACCTAGTATATCTTTACGAATTCTTCCAAACGCTATTGTGTATAGTCATCTCAATTACACTCATAAAACACTCCCTGAGATCTCTCTGAATCATTACGCTGAAGGTGCAGTAAAAATTAACGATTACGATATGTCTGTCTTTAAACAAATAATATTGTATTCCGCGCTTTTAAATGTAATGTACGGAGTACAGAGCGCGAACTGTTCACAAGCAGTTTTTTCTGAGGTCCCTGCAGTTAGGCCTAACTGTACTAATTTTACGTTTTCTTTACTTTGACTATACTTTCAGATGAAGACACCATTGGTGACATCGACACTCAGTAGGAAACGCATAAAGCGGTTAAACTTTCCACAGCGGTAACAATGATATTGTACGCATAGCTAATCTTGCAGGTGCGCTAGGCGTGTCGTGTAGAGATAAATTTGACAACAAGCGTCACCATTACAGCTTCAGCTTAATTATAGAATGTGTATGAAAATTAATACACACACTTAACTTTTTCTAGTTTAAAGAAGTGATATTGCTAAGTGCAATTCCAGTGACAACGTACTCAGACTAGAGTCAATCAGTGGATTTAGTTTAAAAGTTGTTATCGAATGGACAAGGTGACACTTTATAAGGAAACTTTTACAAATAGAGTGTAAGGCTCTGTCGTTAAAATGAAAATTGTTCATACACCCATTCAAAATTCAGGTAACACAGAATTTATAACCAACTGACCATAGAATTGACAGCCAACAGCTTAGATCTTTGCCAAAGGATTGACGAGTGTCTTTTTTGCCTGGGTCAACCACTATATCCAGTTCAAATGTTTTAAGAAAATAGCAAACTACCATTTATTCAAGGGTTGTTTATAATTTTGGTCTTAACTGATGTATCTTCTATGTATTTTTAGTAGTGAAACCGTTTCATTAGTATAGAAAATTTCAGGTTAACGGAGCCTTGATGATCTGTGTGTCTTTGAATGAGCATGTTCTTAGCACCCAAACACGAAATATTGTAACCATTGACACTATTTTGACTGTGAAGAGTAAAACATTCGACTTAAAAAGATATAGCCTCTTCAGCCATCCAGCAATGGCTCAAGTCGAGTCATTGACTTGATTCATTACAACTATGGTACATAACACCGAGCCAATTCGTTAAACCGTTGAGGTGACCTTTTCCATTAAGTAGGGCCTAAGTAGCAGAGAGGATCCACGGGCTAGTCGTGAGTCACAAAATGTTATCAAAGGTTTAAGAGACCACAAAACCTAACACAAAATCTATTTTTTCTATCGGTCACCCTTTATTATACGGTCGTGCGTCAAATTGTGTACACATTGTACACATGTGCATTCGTGTACATATGCACCCCCCACAAAACAAAACCCTCTGCCTTCCGCCCCTTTCCTGCGCAAGTATAATGTGGACGACCCCTTGATGGAACATTTGCATTTGTAAGAGGCTCTTGATCTAGGAAATTGTCCAAAATGTTGGAAGCTGTGGATCAGGTTCTAGTGGTCCCGTACGTTAATCTGCTATTGGCTGGGGTTCAGCTCACAGGGACACGTCTTGTAACAGAGCCTTTTTTTTCTAAAGGGAGAGGGACATTGGCCGTTTAGTCATCCCCGCACACACCTCGCAGTAGTGAGAAGCCAAAATGTGATGTCTGAGGTTGTTGTTGAACTTTACATCCATGCCGCAATGTACTGAATAACACCGAAAAACGTCAAACAAACAGTATAAAAACTCAAAATGCACGATTTTCTGTTAGATTACGTGCGCAAGTGATTTGCATATGTATCATGAACAGCGCCCCTAATATATTGCACCCCCCACTTTTAGAATTGTAGTCATAGGAAATATAATGGGATTTTAGTCATCTGCTATCCCAAGCCGCTGCCACTGCATTGGGAAATTTCATTTCCAATTACAGCATACTCGAATGATGAAACAACCAAATTTCCTCGAAGATTTCATTTTAGCCAGGAGACTGACGGTAAAATTGTGTATACTTACTCTGCATGCCTTTTTAATTACTAGTCTTGACTATATTGTAATTTCAGATCGAGTGACAGAAATAAAAGTTACCCGAAGTACATTCTGTGTCTTATTTTATCGTTTATTCAGAGTATTTATCACAGCAATTTAGAGAAGATCCACGCAGCCTGCCACAAGTATCACCCGGCACGCGGTTTGAAGAATTGTTTTCTGCATATTTATTTTTTTGGCATTTAGTTGAGAATAAAAAGAAAAGCATTAAAAGCCATATTTTAAAGAATTTTAAAACTTTATGTAAAAGCTTCATTTTCGCGGAACAGTTAGGTGTCACACGCGCTTGCGCAGTATGGTCAAAGAGCAGAGGACCGTGTTTGGCTGTTGACACCTTTCACAGTACCATTGGACCAAAAATCACACATTGCTGACATGTCAGTGGTTTCCAAAATATCTTCACCTAATTATTCTGAAGATTTTCTGCTCCGTGTCCGTACCAGTTCTGTGACGTCACGACACTACGAAGCCGTCATAGCGGTGCGTCGGCTATAGAACACCACATCTTGCAGACCGACGATCGACGTTGTTCTTGCAGTATATAGTTATACGCAACATGCGGCAGGCCAACCATTCCGGGCCGTCGACTGTCTCAGGAAGCGGGCCCACTGCTGCCAGTCCTGGCTCCTAGGCGAGCAGGACTGTTTTTTTTCCTGCGAGACCGACGCAGCACCTTAAGTTTATGCCCTGCTGATCGTCTTCGTCACCTACCTGGCATGATGGTCTCCCATCCACATCATTTTCCTGTTCTGGAACTTTGGCTGGGCTGCTTTTGTTCAATAACCGGTGCTTTTTTCTATCCGTGGCGCTGGTTGAGCTACATCCGAGTGAATCTCATCATGTACGCCCTCAAGTGCAAGCATGCAATTCATCAGGAGTGGACTACTCCTGATAATCTTCAAGAAATCAGCCCAAGTAGATACGGCCTGAATGCTGCCACACATCAACACAAGAGATCTATAAATCATGTCACAGTAGCAACTCGCAGCTCCTAGACTGATTTACAATCAAAGCTAATAGAAAGTTGGAAGGTTGGCTATCAAAGGTATCAGTGTCACTTCCAAGAAGATAAAATGCTATTGAGAAAAGGTTGTTTCTAATCTTAATGCATTTGGAGGACAAAACCCATACCATTTCATACAAATGAAAGGTTTTGGACCCTTTCATGAACAAACTACTATACAATTGCCATTTGTGATAGCTTTATCGACAACCAGTTGAAAAAGATGAAAGTGCACGCCAAATACCTGTAAAATAAAGAAAATATGTTAGTTATTAATGAAGTTCAAATTGACGTATTCATTTGGGCTCGCAGATCACTCATTTTAATTTTCCTGTCAACATTTGGCTCGCTCAAAATTAAACCAGATTTATCAATTTCAACATGGGGATCCGGAGTAAACACACGCAAAAAACTGAACATCAGACTCTGCCATTATCGTTGTCTTTTCTTTGTGTGCCAATGACTAACACAAGCAACTGTGTCGTCTAACCATTTAAAGCACCTGACTGCACCACCAACAGGGCCGATATAATATCATGGTATTACCTAATGGAGAACACGATGAAGTGAGCTGTTTTCCTTTAGTAAACTTTAAGGTTAGCCTTATACTATACTTTCATAATTGATCTCTTCCAACAGGAAAGAATCTGAAAAAAGGAGCAAAACCAAACCAATAGCACCCACATTATTAATCCTATTCTTACCCACTACGCTGAGAAAGACAGTGCGTCAAAACGTCTTTTTTCCCCTTCTTTTATGCGCACAACCCCACCTAATGACGCTCAAGGTGTTAAATAATAAGCCTCGTGCGAGTTAAATTTGAATAAAATCTGGTACACTGCGTTCTTTTTATTCACATGAAAATAACAATTTGAATTCTCGATACTAAAGACACTGTTGCCATACCTCGTGATTCGGGGCATTCCAGAGATAGTGGTCACTATGCAAAAGCTTGTCCCGCATCATGAAGTTTGGCAAACAGCGCCTTTAGTCTGCGAAATTTCAAATTGTTATGTTCGTGTGCAATTAGATAACTCAGTGTTCCAGATTTTATTCAAATTTAACTCGCAAAAGGCTTATTCAGGTAATACCATAATATATTTCGGCCCCATTCCAAACAGGCTGTTCTGTGCAAAAGCCTCGTTTGTTAACCGTGATGGGTTGTGGGCTCAAGTGTGAAACAACGGCGAATGAACAATTTTCTCCATATACGTGGGAAGTATACCGTACGATTTTATACTGGCATGGCATTAGTGTTTATGATAAATTATGTGACAATGAATTGTTTTTGACGTGTGGGATTTCTTTTAGTGAGTTGAATAATTGGCCTTTGCAACATTAGCTTCACAATGGCACTGTGCACTGGATTGACTCCTCGGTATGGCGGTTCGGTCCTTCTGAAATTGTCAGTAGGATGCAAGGGGGATAGGAGGCCCAGTCGATCGAGACGAAAACAGGAAAAATCGTCACCGGAACAGGCACTGTTGTCAAGAAAAAAAGGGGCTCCGCCCTAGTTGCGCACAAGTCATCAGTGTGGCTTAAAGTTTGAGCCGAAAATATGGAGGATGGGGAAATGACTTGCCCGGCCACGGAACTTGGAAAAGCGAGGGAGGGGATGCTGAACCACGTGACACTATATTCACTGTCAAAAAGTTGGTCAAACAGTTATGGGCATTTGTTATTTGCCCAACCTTGGTTAAACTTGCCACATTGTTGGTAAATTTCCATCACTGTTGGTCAAATATTGACCAACTATTGGGAAGAATTTGCCCAAGGTTACTAAGATGATATTTACACTAACATTGGGCAAAATATCAACCCAAAGTTGACCCGCCTTTTCACAGGGTATGGGGGATATTCATGATACAGATGTAAATCTGTTCTTTATCTTTAGGCAAACTTGAACTCTAAATTCTGATTGGTCAATCCATGGCAACAAATAGTGTGACATTATTTTGTGTCCAACTCGGGCTTGTGTGATAACTAATAAGCATTCTTGTAGTATCTTACATCAGAACGGCATATTTATTGTTTTTTACTTTTCTCCCTTTTTGAGTGCTATTGAATACATTTTTGGTTGTTTGGAAGTGCGAAAAATTCTTCACGATCGGTCTTAAATTTGTTTCTCACCACAAAGGGGTGGGGGTATTGAATTACCAATCCCCCTATAGTTAAAAAGACGGGAGATTAACCACCCCACCAAGTCATGCACATCAATCGTTTTGCCAAGTTTTTGTTAGGATTAGTTCTTGAGTTCTCTTCACCCAGCATGTTTTATTACCTCGCTCGCTCGTGCAGTCATCACAAATGCCCGTGATTTGTTTGCTTGTACATTGCGCATGATTGCTTATGTTTTCAGGTCCATTTAAACGGACGAGTGATGACCGAAAGCAGTGACGGGAAACGATACCCAGGGTCATGTTTGTACGTACAAGCGGTGCGGAAACCGCCCCTCACGCCAATTTACGGCCTCTCCATAACTATGGCAACTTCACAGGACGATCTTGCTTGTCAGCATGTGCGGTCATACCTAACGAGAGAACCGTGGGCGTAAATCCCAGAGTGTGGTGGGAGTACATACCCCCCCCCCCACTTTCTTGGAGGGGGGTGGGTTATCATCCTAGCACTTTTTTGTGATGAGAAAAAAATTAAAGCAGATTGTATAGAATTTACAAGACTTCTTAACGACTAAAATGTTTGCAATAACACTGAAAAGGGAAAGCAATATTGAAAAGTTTACATACCGGTATGCCATTCCGATGGAAGATTCTGCAAAAAATTGATACGCATTACAGTTATACATCTTTGTCATGAACATCGCCCCTCTAGTGAAAATGGTGTCCCCCCCGCTTTTCAAATTTTCATTGCTGGTCAAGTCAACCCCTACCCTTCTCCATTCCCCCCATTTCCAACATAGATTTACGCCACTGGAGACAACTAATGGACTAGACTGTGATCTGTTGTGATGTATCGTTCAAAGTTTTAAGTACGGCCTGTCGTTCTACGCGCAGTCCTCCCGTTCTCGGTAAACAGCCTACACTTGTCGTGTAAATGGGCCATTAATCTCCGGGGCAGTATCTGTCCTCCTCTATGATTGTTTTTACATATAGTCTGAACTCTCCTGATCACAGTTATCTGTACAAAAGGAGGAAGACTTCGATTTAAGGTGCCTTCTCGGGGAGGGCCTACGATTTTTGGTCCGTTCCGTATCCACATCCGATAGCCTCGCTTCACTCCTGTATGCTTTCAAAGAACACTCACCGTAGCTTTAGGGCCTACGCATAAGACGTCAAGGCGGTCTGAAAACACTCATATGGATTAAAAGACGCCTTCATATATAGCATCATAATAAACACCCTACATTGTCTATCCGTGTGTGGCATAACATTCTGAGATGAGGAAGTCAGACTGTGCAGGTTCGAATAATGAGACAAAAAAGATGGAAGACAGTCGAGTTAGTTTTGTTATGTGGGACAACACCGTTAGAGTCAATTAAACGTCAATTTGTTGCGATTTGTAGATGAATTTAAATCGAAGTTTGGAACACACATCGATCCACTTGAAACCCATCATGGAAGGCAGTTAGAAATACAAAACTAAAGTCATCTCTTAAACGCTTGAGTTGGAAAAGTTGATTCCTGTTCGTGTCTAATTGGCGTTTCAATCTCAACGGCAGCGAGTGCCCCAAAATGTTTACAAGCCAAGAATGACAGTATGAAGCAGTCGAAGATGTTTAAAGACCTACAGTCTTACTGAGTTGGAGAGGCGGTGGTTGTCATAGACAACTGTTTGATCCATCAATCAGTCACTCTCACGGTTCTGATTGCACACACGCTTGAATCGACATGGCGAAGGCCTTTAATTACGCGAAAATATGAGAAATCCCCTATGAAAACAAGAACAGTGGAACAGCCTGGCTGAACTAATAAACCGAAGCACGGGTGCTGTGGACTTGATGTCAGGTTGTCTGCCAGATTATGTCATCGCCAATCAAGAAACGTTTGTGCTTCTAGAATGACGGGACCAAAGTTTAAGTGTTCTGATTGCACCAAACCTATCTTCTTAGCCACATTAGTCAGTACTGCAGTTAATTTTGAAGAGAACTTTCAGCAAGGTAGATCGAGTAACTTTGAGCGGACCTTTTTATCAAATGAAATGGAGAATATTCTTGCACTGTTCGTTTATAAGACCGCCATCGGCGTCCTGGGCGTTTTGGGCAATGGGTTGGTGTGCCTTGTGATAATCCGAGTGCCAATCATGAGAACGCGCACCAACGCGTTCATCTTCAACCAAGCGGTGATCGACCTCCTCGGATCCGTGGTCATCCTCATGCAGACCGACGTGCCACTGCCCGACCCTCTACCCGACAACGCCGCTGGCTGGATCTGGTGTCACATTTGGATCTCCAACTTCATGATCATCATATTCTATGTGCCTTCCACCTTCAACCTTCTGGCGTTGACCCTGGAGCGCTACTTCGCCATCGTGTACCCTTACAAGTACCAGATCACGTTCGCTACCAACCCTCGCCTGAAAGTAGGAGTGACCATGGCGTGCTGCTGGATCTTAGGTGTGGCGATCAAAAGCTATACCATTCTGATCGTGGAGAAGACTGCGGACGGCAAGTGCGTTTCCCGTCCTATATCTGGGTCCACAGTGATCGGTATCCTGACAGTATTTCTACAATACATCATCCCAGCTGCCGTGATGCTGTTCGCTTACATCCATACAAGCGTGGAGTTAAAACGGCAGGCCGCTCGAGTTGGCCCGGTGATGACGATGGGGTGCAGCGTGTCGTCTGCAGACCGTCCCGTTTCAAACGCAGCCCCTCAAGAGAATCTCACGGCATCCCTGCTCCGAGCTCGACGGAACGTCTTCAAGACACTCCTAGTCGTCTTCGCCACTTTCCTCGTCTGCTGGTCGCCGAACCAGATCCTCTTCTTAATGTTCAACTTGGGCTGGAAAGTGAAGTTCAGCGACTGGCACTTCCTCCTGACCTTGGCCCTAGTCGCTACCAATTCGTGCGTAAACCCCTTCATCTACGCACTGAAATATCAACAGTTTCGTAACGGCGTGCGACAAGCATTCTGCCAGGGGAGGCCTTCGGTAAACAGCATTCCGTATGGGAACGATAACCCGACCACAAGAACAGAACTGAACGTGTAACTGGTCACAACTAAGACAACCCAACCCAACTGGGCAAGATTAATCAGTACAAAAAATGGAATACTTTTTTTATCAACTTGCTGTTCAATAAAGTACAGGAGCAACTGATATTATGTCGGAGCTCACTGCCTGTGCCTCCAGACTGTCAGTTTTAATCGCCATAATTCAGACTATATCAAATTCTGTTCTGAGAACAATGCAAAAGTAAAACAAAAACCGCCAGAACAAAACCGCTGTTGAAGTCGAGTCCAGCACAAGGCCGTCACAAGTGCTTCAGTCATGCAACATCCATTATAATGAACTGCGACACAAGCATTTTCTATGATCATTGCTCAACGTGTTACCTACGGTATATGATTGGTTTTGTTTGAAAAAAAACCTGGTGACTGGACATGTGCAGTAACGTGTGATGGACCTTTTAAATGTTTACCTTTATTAATTTTCTGTATTCCAGCTTTGAGTTAGCAAATACACACAACTGCATGTGTATGATGTTTCTCATGAATTGTACAAAAATTGCAGACAGGCCTTGTTTGCAAAACGGAATACCAAAAAGCAGGTTGGATTTCATTACACATTTACTCCACTAATAAATACAAGGATCAAATTAAATAACTGCAAAATAACTTTCAGCAGCTGTATTTACAATCGAAAGATCATTTCATGTTAATACCTTACACTGAGAAAATTTGAGTTGATGGAAGAAATAGCAGCCTTATAGATTGTATGCGATATGAAAGTGGCATGCGTCTTGCAAAATCTCCACAAGAGATTTTTTTTTTGCATTTAAATTGATATGTGTAGGTAGTAAATTGTGATTCAGTAATTAGTTCAAGTGTAACTGTTGTTGCTAGACGTGTTTTACTGACAAAGAAAAATCTGAAGTAAATAGTGGGAGATATCTTTGAAGATTTTTATAAAGAGACAGCCATTTTCTTCTCGAGAGAGAGATCGAGAGAGAGATCGAGAGAGAGAGAGAGAGAGANAGAGAGAGAGGGAGGGGGAGGGGGAGGAGTTGGGGGAGCCAAAGGCTAAACATTTTAGGCAACTAAACATGATCCCCTCCTCCTCATTGAAGGAAATTCAGTATACAAAGTTTAAATAAACGGGGACAAAATATAACCATTTTGACTTAAAAAACACGACTACTGCAATCAAGTGCAATACACAAATACTTCTTATCTATGACTCTATGGACGGAGGAGCTTGACCCTGTGGTAGAGGTTCCCTCCACTTTTCCTGTCGCCTCAGTGGACGATCTCCGCCGACGGCTTTGCCGATAACGTTGATGATCCGGTCGCTCTCATGCTTAATTCCGTCGGCAGATCAGGTGCAAGAGACTCGGATGAGGAATCATTAATTGCTCTTTCCAGCTTCTGAAAAAGATTGTAAAACACACGCAAGATTGCACTGTTTTTTAGTTCAATCGCTGAAATGTATGTTTCAATATAGTCAACATGCAGTAAATTGCCACCTCGACGATCTCTCGACAGCAGATATATTGCTTGGTTTACCGTCTCACTCCCAATCTTCAGTCCTTTCTTACATATCGCTTCCTCTATGGTGCATTCGCCCCATTTCGAAACTCTAGCATAGCTCAGGCTTCACACTCGAGCCGATTGTTAAGTCTCCCACATAAACCTATAGTAAAAAGCTTCGATTTAAATGGGATTTCCAGCAGTCACTTTTGCTACGGAAATAACGTAAAGTCTCTGATTTTGAGCTATAGGCAGGCATCTGTTAAAAAGATGTCTCTTCCTGCTTGCCCCCCCCAATATAGCCATTAATTTGCACTATCGAATCTTTGTGTGGATTCGGACTATTTCGACGTTGGGTGCTTTTTTGGTTAATGAAGCTGTGAACTCAGTGAACCCTGTGCTCATATCGAACATTGGAACCTTCGGGTTAACGAAGCTTATTCCAAATCTCGGACAAATGAATATTTGAAAAAAATGGCGATTGGATACCGTTTATTGCTTCACCCCCCCAAAAAAAAAACAACCCATGTAGGCCTCCGATTACATTTAAAAGAGAATCGACGCATCAATTCTTTCTCAATTCAAATACATACAGCACGATTCAAATGCTCTAAGCTCACTTTTGTCCCGAACATACTACTATGATTTATTATAGAACGTAATCAATCATTAAGAAACACTCGTAAATTCCTCAGACAGGCTCCCTATTCAACAACATGCAACTTGACTGTGTATTAACATTATTTTGATAATGCCCTCTAAGAAGTGATAATGCCCACTGCATAAACACTGGCGGCGAAAGCAGGGGGAGGGCAGTGGCCCTCCACTTTTTCGACTGGGGAGGGGGCCTGCCCCCACTTTTTGCAGGACATATAATTGGGAGGGGCTCCATGGATTGAGCTTTAAATGGCTGATGCTTGACGGTTTAACAATTGCCCCCCCCCCCACTTTGTCAATCGACCGCTGCAGGTGGCGTAAATCACGCCCCGGCGCCTGATCAACGCGGAACTTCAGCGATTGTCCAATGAGAGCCTGCAAATCGCAGGGCGTCCGCCTCTGTGACAAAGTCACTTACGAACCAGATTGATTCAGAGTCAGTGTGCACGCGGCTCCCTACGCGCGCGCCAAGTCCATATAAGGAGATTCTTTGGACAACTATAAAACAAAATGGACGGGGTGTTGAGGAAAATGAAAGTAAAATTCTAAAACAAAATCGTTGGAAATCCGTTTTATACTGACTCCTTAACACTTGGCTGCACGTACACGGTCAACAAATTGCAAACAAATTTTAGTCCACTGGTTTCAGATGCTATGGAATGGGAGCCCGCAGCCATTTATTATTTCAGTTTTTTGTTTTACAAGTTTTTGCTGAATACTAATAGCTCTATTTTGCAATACTACTTATTTTACAGCCTGACATGGCAAGACTGCAGCACACCACCTTGGGCTGAGTTAAACTTAAACACATTCTCTCCTATTTGGCAATCACACGGTCCTCTCATATCAATATTTGGCTTTTCATTTTTTTTCGGGGGGGGGGGGAAGTCTTGGCAGGAGAAACATCGGGTCCCAGCGTAAAATTTACCCCAGACCCCAGCTCTCCTGCTTGCTTTTTACGTTCCTGCCACGACGTGCCATGATAGAGTAATCAATTTAAGTTTGAGCTTGGAAGGTTTAAATGAAGTATCAGGAGTACCTTCCGGTTCTTTTTGGAACCACACACACTCTTTTGATATCCTTGCATGGTGTTACTGCGAACCTTTAACTTTCAGTTTATCTTTAATAATACATTGCAGGGAGATACAAACTAGCATACAGAGGTATGTAAATTATTTTCCTGGGAGGGTAAAATGTTTAGTATATGAATCATTCCCATAACAGACATACTGCCAACACTGAATGCATACAGTTGGATCCCTTCAGAAAGAAGTCATTGCTCAGTATGGAGCATGAATTCAATTAAATTGTGAATGTAAACATATAAACAGTGCACATGTACATGTTGCTCAAGCTACATTGAATAAAAACATGAAGAGCAGTCACAAACTTAAAAAAAAATTAGGGTTAACATTTTCAAACGTACGACCGTAGAGGTTTGGTCTTTGAAATGAAAAGGGAAATACTTATATACGGAAGACATTTTCAAAATCGTTTTGAATACATTGACAAGGGAAACAGTGTAACACAAATGGAGCCCTTGCTTGCCCATATCCCATTGTTTGTAGGCCTACCCCTTTTGATAGTAAATGGAAGAAAAATCCAAACGGTCTGTGTAATTTGAGATAAAAAGGGTGAAGTTTGACTTAGAGCAGTCGGTTGATTAAACATCTCAGTTTCATGCAACCTGTTTTTAAAACTCACTTAAAGTGGAAATCATTAATCCACTCAAAGAATGTCCACTTTGTGCATGTTTGCACTTACGTTTGAAAACACTTTTGAAGGATTTATTTCAACTGTTCAACTTGTTTACATGTCTCGACCTACACAGGCCTTTTTCGCCTTTTCCCTACAACAAAAGACTGACAAAGGAGAATACTTTTCCAAACAAATGTTGGCTAAGAATGGGCAAAAAATTATAAAATCTAAAAAAACAAGAAACATAATTGTCGCTGGGCCGAGGCAATTTGGCCAAATGTGCACATGGACAGAATAATATGTGTTACTTGATGTTCCAAAGACAAACAAAATTGGAAGTGCTTACTGTTTCCGACCCCGAGTTAAATATAAATCTGCCATCTCCTTCCTGGGTGAACCTTTGGAATGTTTTCTGTTTATGTATCACTAGTTTGTACTGTAATTGTTATTACTTGAGGAATAAACAGATGTGATCAATGTGCTGAGGCAAAGAAAGTTGCAGCCGGAATTTCTCTTGTACAGCTTGTTTGCTGATGACCGATATTCCAGTTGGGACAATTCTTGAAATTTTGCGAGCAGGCCGCAAACAGGACAAAGGAACAGTGTTGGTAACGTATTCACAGGGGAAAAAAAGTCCCATTTCTTCTTGACCTAACTCAGTCGGGATCTCTGTGACCTCTTCGTTTCTTCTGCTCTGGATACATATCAAACAAGACTGCGCACCGTTACTTGCTTCGCGCCCTCTTGTGTCCACTTATTACTATGAGTTCAGGTCAGAAATCCCGACCTGACAAATCTGCCAACCGTACGCACACAGCGAACGGGCTCATCTACCAAACGTGGAAGCAGCCAATCACATTGGGGACTTGGTTTTACGTTTTCATGCCTGCATTATAATTAACGAGTCTAGAAGTCCAACTACTTTGATTGGTGGAAATTCCGTATACGTTATGCAAGTCATGTCGTTCATATGCAATTATGAATAACTATATATCACTGACAGGGGGTCCGATTGGCTTATCCATCAAGTCAGACTTACTGACAGGTGACGTATGACACACGTTGTACAATAAAGGCTATAATGAGGGCACCTTATACGGGTTGTGCCAGCTGCTGGGCCGAGCGTTACGACTGTGCAGTGCGTACCGGCTGGGGATGGCTGACCAAGGAAGAGCAACCTTAGTCCGACTTGATTCAAGTCTAACATTTCCTCTGACCACAGCATCTTTCAAGCTGACGAAACAAAACGACTGAAGAAAACAACAACACTTCTGTATGTGAGTTATAATGTCTCACCTCCAAAGCATTAACAATATATTTACAAATAAAGTATGGACAACCCATGTTGGATAATTAAATCCTCATCAGAAATTCCTACGATGTTTAAAAACAGTAAATCTGATTAAGGAATACTTCTCCTGTTAGACCCAAAATTGGTTCAATTAACCTCCATCAGGTCACGCAGAATTTAAAAATATACACATATTACACTGCAGCACTGTTGCATTCACCTAAAAACAGCTGAACACAAGGAGAGAATCCTTTGGTGGGGACGGCAGAACTAGCAGCAGTAATATGAAAGGGTAATTAACTTTCATTTCATCTCTTCGTTTCATTGGATGACATCACCCCTTTTGATGACGTGCTTGATCATTCTCTCATGGTTGCCCAGCTGATAAATCAGGTGCTCCCATCTGAAAAGGTAAGTTTGTAAAGACGAAAGAAAATAATGAAACCTTTGTGCAGGGCGAAACTTACTCAGTTTCCAACCCCTACAAAAAACTGCCAAATATTTGTGCCATTCTTTTCACAGACTGGATGGGTGTACCACAACCCCAACCCTAAATTAGATCCCTCTGCTTTTGTCCAAGTTCTGCCTCAGCTAATGATAAAGTCATTAAAACCAACCAACAATCAAAAATTTTAAATGCATGTGTTTTGCACCAACAATAAAAATGATAAATGGAAGACACAACCACTGTGACTCCTACAGATATCCATACATTTAATACATGAGTTGATGGTATGGTTTTCCATTAAGAATGCCTTCATAAGGTACCATTAAAAATTGATGATCTGATACGGTTGGGAGTCTTGAGCCCTTCTCTCTACACACAAAAACGTGCAAGGTTTGCTACGAGCCAAAATATCTGAGCAGGGATTGTTTATTGTACCATTACGCAAAAGCTAATATTGCTTCCTATCATGAGACAAGTGTATATGTACTTTGTCACTGGTATTCCTTAGGGCACAAAAAGAGCATAAATTTGCTTTTTTCCCTTGCGATTGGCATTCAACTGTTTTTCTGAAAAGTATTTTCACGATAATGAACACCTGGCATTCAAATTATTCCCAGGGGAACAGTTCATCCACACTTACACTTTGACTGGTAAACAGCAAAAAATGGTGACTAATATGGGATGGTGAATGGATGAGAAAAAGCATTTGGTCATGAATATGCATGAGGTATAGTAATGAAGTCGAAAGTCATAAAAGCTTGCAGTAAGTGTGGCAATATTCTCAGCCCCGTGTTCCCACAATCCTGTTATCAAAATAGAAATTCTTCAAGACAACACTTACGGGCTTGTTCACCCTAGCTCAGAGGCATAACCGGGGTGGGGTAATGTGTTCTGGGGTAGATTGAGGAGAGATGTGGCAGTACAGTAAAACATGTAAAACGTGTATTGAGGGGGGGTACCTTTGGTACCCCCCTCGATACACGTAAAGGTGGGCATCCCTGGGTGTCCCCCTTGAAATTTTAACCCAGTTACGCCAATGCTGCAGCTCTTGCCTTATGCTGGTTATCGAAGTCATGTTATTTAACATTTGAATGATTTCTTGGGATGACAGAGAGGGATTGCTTTGGGCAAACGCGGGAATCTGCGGCAGATCACCTGCACCGCAATACTCAGCCTCACTGCCAGCTCACCTTGGCGCATCGATGACAATCATATCCCCAACCTTGCCCACTTCCAGTGAGCCGTGGCTCCTGGATTTACCCAGGGAGGCGGCGGCATTGATGGTAGCTGCTACCAGGGCCTCGTCCATCGTCATGCCCAGGTTGACACAGGCCAGGTGCATCGCTAGAGGCTGAAATGATATACAAAATCAATACCCGTGATACAGTGGAAGATAGAAGTGACAGGAGTTTTTCTCTGTGAATATAATGCATACATCTCTTTCTCAGCTACACAATTATAAGAATGCTACGTATTGTATTCTTACATATTTTAGTTTTCACAAGTGCAGAATTTGGGGAACTGATAAAAAGAAACTTGAAAAAAATGGGGCTGTTTCACTGATCGTTTGCAAACCAATGTTATTTAATCCTTTAAGAGGTGTGTGGGGGGTAATCTGCCCCCACAACATTATGTCCAATATCGCCACAGTCCAATTTCTCACCCACTGAGGCTACAGGACTTTTTAGAACCTTCTAGTGGTCATTCTGACACCAATTTTGTGAAAATTGAACAAACCGTTCTGGTGCAGCACCCATTTTTCTGGGATAGGTCAGCCAAAAATGTATACTTTTCACAAACATTGCTCAATGCACCTTGGCTGGCCTTGAACTTGTTTTGGTCATTGAGGGAGTTTTCTTACTTTCAACAGGACTCACCAAAATACCTGTCTGACAAGTGCATGCATAGATCAACAATTCACACACAGCTTTAGTAATATTAAGGCAACCGAGTCATACCATAGACAGGCAGAATGCGTTGGGATTGAAGTCACTTCCCAAAGCCACTGCCACCCCATTCTCGATCATCTTCCTGACGGGAGGAGGGGTCAGCTTCAGGATGTAGGCAGTCGTCGGGAGGACTACGGCCACGCTACCGGCCTCGGCCATGGCCGTGATCCCGGCATCGCTGATCTCTTCCAGGTGGCTGATGGCTGTTGCTTTCAACGCAGAACCCATCTGGTAAAAGGGGGATGACAATGAAACTTGCTTCTCTTGTAACTTCTTAAGGGCCAAGTTTTGCTGATGATTGGCAAAATACTCCACTGGTTCTCATAACAAGGGTTCTATTCTAATGAAATGAACTTGTAAATGTAATTGTTTGCCTAAATTTCATATCACCTTTTCAATAATATATCGTAAAATTGAAAGTATCACACATTTGGCTCCCACATTTGAAGTATTACATGTTTTAAGAGTCAACAGTCACCAACAATACATGTTGGCAGCAACATTACTCTCGGTGAGTCAGTGATGAAATCATTAGGTTAAAGCTGTTTATGGTTGAAAAAGTATGATTTATCAGTGGTCTGAGAATGCACAATGAGCAAGGTGAACTTGGCCAAAACAGCTTGCTGCACAATGGTTTCACAAGGGTTGTTCAAATGAGACTGCAACATGTGTGTGAATAGATTAAGATCTGACCTGTCGGTTAGCAGTGGTTTTTAGGCCGGTTCATACTTGGCTAGAAAGCATTACTTAGCAAACACAAATGTGACTTTGCGACATCAGATCAAATATTTACATTGCAAATTCGGAAAGCCATCGTTTATTGAATGGAGAGCCATCGTTTATTGAATACAAGTGGTATGATATTGCTGGGGATGTACATGTATAGCAGAAATATGGATATTTTGTCTGGTAGTGTTCTCCATGGGTGCCTTAAGGAAGAAACAGGGGTGCATAATCCTACCCTACCTGATGAAAAAATCCAAAAAGGACATATACATGTAGTACAGAGGAGGGAAAGAAAAAATACAAAACAAATAGAGAGAATTGCCAATTTCCTGAAAATGCTTCAGAAAACTGATGAACCCCTTCATAGTTCAAGGGATAGTCTGCTAAAGTCCTCCATGTACATGTATGTGTCCTGTCTGAATGTAGATGCAATTCTCAAATACTGCACCTCAGCAGCACCCAAGTAGGTCAGCTCTTCACCGTGGAAATTGATCGACAGACCCATCTGGAGCCCTGCTTGCAAGATCCGCCTGCTCTGGTCCACATCAAACACGCCCTTCTCGCAGAAGACATCAATGTTATCCACCTGGATGTCCCCAGTTTCGATGAGGTTCTGGAGTTCTGGTAGCTGCTTGTTGATGACATCCTCTGTTGCTTCTTCGGCAGTTTGCCCTCTGCTAGGACAAAATAATGTCATTTTCAAACTCTAACACCAACTAAATTGAGAAGTGGAATTCCAGATGTTATGGAATTCCTTGCACAGACTGTAAGTTTATTTATCTTGGGATCAAAAACAGCTGTGTCCGCACTGGACTTTTTTCCCTAAGGGTTTTACCATGCCGATGGTAAAATGAAACGTGGTCAAATGTGACCACTGTCTGCACTTGGACTTGTGGATGAAGTAACTGAGCTTTCAGTACAACGATTCATGTGTGCAGCATGCCGTTGTGCTTGCGGCTGGATATATGCTCTACTGATCTGCTTTTCCATGCTTTTACCGGCTCATGCTGTCCATATTGTACTTTCCATTCCCGGGAAAAGTGACCTGTGAATTTTTCCTGGGCAGAAGTTGGCCGGTAAAAATACCAGTCTGACTCACTCAAAGTAACTGAAAGGAAAACTTTCTGGGATGTCCAGAAATTGGACTTAAAATGAGAAGAGTACCCAGGGCTGTTGACACAGAGTACATCAGCTACTCACTTTGGCACAGAATACATCAACTACTCACTTTGGAGCAGAGTGCATCAACTTTACACTTTGGCACAGAGTGCAAGAATTATTCACCTTTGGCACAGAGTGCACCAACCATTCACTTTGGTATGAGTGCATCGACTATTCATTCTGCCACAGAGTGCATCAACTATTCACTTGGGTACTGACTACATCAACTATTCACTGTGGCATAGAGTGCATCGACTATTCACTCTGGCATAGAGTGCATCGACTATTCATTTTGGCACAGAGTGCATCAACTATTCACTTGGGTACTGACTACATCAACTATTCACTGTGGCATAGAGTGCATCGACTATTCACTCTGGCATAGAGTGCATCGACTATTCATTTTGGCACATAGTGCATCAACTATTCACTTGGGTACTGACTGCATCAACTATTCAATGTGGCATAGAGTGCATCGACTATTCACTCTAGCATAGAGTGCATTGACTATTCACTCCAGCACAGAGTGCATCAACTGTTCACTTTTTATCACAGAGCGCATCAACAATTCACTTTGGCACAGAGTGCATCATCTATTCACTTTGGCACAGAGTGCATCAACCATTCACTTTGGCACAGAGTGCATCAATTATTCACTTTGGCACAGAGTGCATCCACTACTCACTTTAGCACAGAGTGCATCAATTATTCACTTTGGCACAGAGTGCATCGACT